AGACATTTTTCCGAGTTATTTACAAAGCCAAGGGATAGAAGCAAGCTGTTTGACTTTATACGACAAGCTACATCTGCTCGCTAGCAGGATGTTGTAGGCGATTATTTGAGCGAGTCTTACGTCGCCGAGAGTTCATGTCGCGCATACTTCTCGAGATGCATATGCACGTGCAGACGTTTAATCTGCCTCGTAAAGAATTCGAAATGAGCGAAAATTCGAAGCTCGCTTCTATTTTGTTTGCTGTGAAAATAGACTTTCATTGCGCATTCCCGTTTCACGGAGAGCGGTTAGTGTCTCATCACACGTCGCCGACAGTAGCAACAGCAGCAACTGCAGAAACTTTCTATTTTTGCGAGAGAAATGCTGCTTTTGTACCCAACGGTAGTCAAGAGTAGTGTAGTAAGCTACTAACCCGGTTATTGTGTGTGTATTCTAGTCTTGAGAGGCAATAATAAAGTCACCTCTGCTGTAAGCTAAACTCGCCAGGAGCTCAAGGCACGTAGCCCTAGCGAGTCTTTCATATTTTCTCGTTCATTATCTCAAAATGAAACCGAGTCCATGATCATTACATTTTTTATTGTTTAACGATCGATTCTTTGCCGTCAAACTCGTCAAACTCAGTGGCTCTTGGAGCTTGCAAGCTTGACTTTTACATCCGCGGATAGATAGCTGCGTCTTAGAAGGATAGAAAATTAAGCCCTTTTCTCGATTCCCGCGTTGCAAGGTACTGTCGCTTCAGTCTTTGATGTGATATAAACTCAGTCAAAAAGACGGGCGTGCGCGTCTGCTGGTGCTTTCAGTGTGTACGTAGGGAAGAGGGCGGCTGTATCGATCTGTCGTCGTCGACTCTTTCGTGTGTGCGTCGCGTGACGTCATGCGCATGCACACGCGGCGAGAGCGGCTTGCAAGCTCGCATCTCTCTCTCTCTCTCTCATCTCACTCACTAGCTCGTTGCTATCCTCTTCCCCATTCAGCAGCAGCAGCAGCAGCACTGGCGGCTAGAAAATCGATGGCTTGTTTAAATGGACAATGACCTTCTCGTCTTATTTCTATATTTATATATGTAATGTGTATCGGTACGTTAGAGTATACGCGATGTGCGCCATAGAGCCACGGATCTCTCGCAAGATGACTTCTATTAGAGTTTTTTTTTAGAAAAGCTAGATAAATGAGGTGAGGGACGTATCTGTCGCTCAAAGGTCGAGCAGGTGGAGATGAATGAATGTGCGTAAGCAGCAGCATGAGCAATGCAACTTGCAATAACTACATACTCTAGCAGCTTCTTGATTGAGAAAAATGCCCAACCAAAGTACACGTGAACTCGAGTACTAAGACGATAAACTCGTCGTCCCTCGAGAAGCCACTCGATTAGATACATCGCGATAAGTTTAAATTGCATCTCTTGCCATGTAGCGATGTCTAATTTGCTTACTCGATGTATTTACACTGTCTCGCTTATCACGCGAATGCATGTAAAGTATTTACACGAGCTTTAAATGGTGCAGCTAAAACGCTTGTCACGGCCAAGCCGGTAAAAACATCCAGAATTAGTACAGTAAAACTATAGACTAAGCAGTCTACATTTACACCCCCCAACATCGCCGCTCGGGTTTGTAAAGCGATATTCCATTGGCAAAGTAGTACGGGGCAACTGTTGATTCCTTATTTGCTCGCACCTTGCCACTATACCGCAGGGAAAAATACAGTTTCGAGGTCTTTGGAAAAAGATGCAATGCAAGCTTTGTGACGTAACGTTCAAAATATCAAGGACTTATCTCGCTCGCATGTAACAAGAAAATTTTTTTGCTGTCTCTTTCCTCGCTTGGAAACTTTTACGTGAGTGTTAAAATAAAACTTGATTAATAATTTTATCATCTTACGCACGTGTAAGTGCACTCTAGACTTTTGACTTTAAACGAATTTTTCATGAAAGCTTTGTTGTTGTTTTTTTTATTAAGATATTTATATATATAGTATGGTGCAACGTAGTTAAAATCGATATTTCACAACTTTCGATACAAGTAGACCAGTCGACGAGTCTGGTAATTGGACACTCTTCTAAAAGTTGCGAACTTTAATCAAGTTGTTGTTTTGATCTGATCGTTTCGTCCTGTATCGGTGGTGCAGTAGAAAGGGCTTCCCCAATAAGAGTCGTTGCATCGTCCAAGTGTTCAGCACCATCTTCTGCCGCTATAAAATATAATGAGAAATTAATTCCCTACTTGGTGAGGCTGCCTCGTGCAATAAGTATGTAAAAGTATATAGAGTTCGGTCAATGTCGAGTGCACGCGCGCGTTCGTTCGCTCGCGCTAGACCCACGCCGAGTACTCGACCTCGTTGCGGGGCTTTTTAATCGATGCTCGTGCGCAGCGCACTTTCAATCGTACAGCATATGCATATATAGATATACGCGCATAATGCGGCAGTTCACTTGCTTGTTTTGATTAGAAATGGCGAGGGAGGAGCAATCCAAGAGGCTACAGGGAGAGGAGGGAGGGCCAAGTGACACGCTCCGCTCGTGTCCTACTGAAAAAGTCATGCCTTACTTATTGTTTAATTGGAAACCCGAGCTACAGGAGGGATGTTCACTCTGACACACGAGCAATCAAGATCTTTTTCAATATCCTTTTTTTGCGTTTTAATACACCTACAGCCGAAATAATAAAACGCTTGCTGAATTTTAGACGAGGCTCATGCACGCATATTCATCAGTCGCACAACTCGAGCTATTATTGCACTCGTACAATCCAAATGATTTATCCTTAATATCCCGAAATTTTTCACTGTCTCTCTCTCGAGAAAGAATAATAACGGTCAGTGGCGCGGTAAAATCTGCTCAGGTTCATGCTTAACTTGAACTGCGTACGTACCATTTTTTTTCCATACACTTACCTTCGTTTTCGATGGTAATATTGTCGTATGATTGTGGTTTTTGATAAATCACGTATTCCTTAGGGGGCTTGAGACTCGGAAAGCGACGCCTCGTTCCTTGTTTTTTGTCGCTGCTTCGACGACGATGCAAATAGTCGACTTTCGATCTCGCTCTATTTCTAAAAAATGCAAATAATAAAACTTGAATACTCACTGCTCTTGGAACTTATACTGTATTATATTTGAATTGCTAAGTTTATTTAATTTAATGCGTGAATTCCCAGAGAGAAGAATTTCTGCAATGTTTTGGCGATGGCTTTTGCTCAAATAAACCGAGCATAGCTGGCGTTTGTTTTCAAAGTAGCGAAGTGCAGCTTGAAAAATGAGCGCGAAAAAGCGCGCGAACGGCTTTCCATACGTGTATATATACAGAGTGTGTGTGTGTGTGAGAGAGAGAAAACTTATAAACTGGCGCATTATCATGTGAATTACGAGGGAGAAAAATTGCATCGGCAAAATATAGGTACATAAAATAGGTTCTTATCGGATACATAGTCATCGTCGTGGCACAAGTACTCTTACTCGCCTGACACAGTTCGAGTACATATTTGCGCTATTGCCCTCGCACATATACACCGATGCTTATTCGATCCACTTTCGCGAAAAGATTTCAACGGTTTTATTTATGCTATGCACTTTATTTGCCTTCACTGCCCGAAGCGATTGAAATTTTGGGGGAAAAAGTGTCTATTAAGATTTCGGAGTGATTCGCTCTCGACGTTCGACGAGACCTTACTTAGAATACAAAAGATCTATTCGTACAGATAGGAATAGAAAAAGGCAAAAAAAGCAAGTTGAAGAGAGGGCAAGAAAGAACTTTTGGGCTTGGGCCCAAAGGCTGTCTGTGACGATTGCTTTCACACTACAGCTGACAATTTCAATCGACTTTTTGTGCGTTTACGCGAACGCGAAGGAAAAATGTACCGTCGGTACATCCCCGCATAAAACTAGCAATGACTTAGCTATGATCTCCTTGCCATTGACCACTTGAAATAAAAAAAAAGAAGCAATAAATACCGGAGCAAATCTCTTTCGACTCGTTTTTACCTTATATTTTCATGCTTCTTTCAAGAGAATATATCCGTTGATTTATAAACATTATCGTTGCGCACACGCACGCCAAGAGAGAAAGATCCGTTGAATTTTTCGAGCTGACCCACATTTCTTCGGTCATTATCGTAAAGCACAGTGCGAGTCTCTTTTCTGCACTACACACACACACACGTGCACATAGTCGTGGAAAACCAAGCCTTTTATTGCTTCCCGCATAGCTTCTATCGCTTGCCTTTCCTTTTTCTTCTGGATAGTTTAACTCTTTTTTATCTACATATCTGGGAAATTTACATCCCTTAGCGAATTTCGAGGGTGTTATTATAATTCTTATTTATAGCGTGCATTACATGCCTAGTGAGGGTGAGCGGCTTCAGACTCAAATGTACGTAAGCTAAGAGTGCAGCTTTTGTGCGCAACGTGTTCGTGACATGTTTTTACCGAGATGACCATTTGTACACGCGTCAAGGGTGCCATTATCGCTCCCGAGTCTGCACAATAACTTCATTTGTGCAACGCCTGCGTGTATGCGTGTATATTACAAAAACGACTTGGATAAAAGTGAATGAGCAGCTTTTTTATTTGTAAAAAATTGCAAGATTTTCACAAAGAATTAATTTTAATTATGGTAGAATGAATTACGGTCCATTGTTGAAAGCAAAATAAACGGAGTGAAATAAATTTCAAGCTGAATTGAATTGCAATAATAACGATATAACGAAATTCAATTCAAACAAATAATCTTTCACGAGCAAAAATAAAATCGGTGACAGTCGAATTGTTGTGTGTATAACAAAAAGAAATAATAGCAGCTCGTAAATTCGAACACGTGACGCGTACTTGCATTGGCTTTTGTTCGAGCGACGCGTGCAGTTAGACTTGAAATTTTTAATTTTTGAGTGCTCTCCCTGCATTAAAAAACGAGACGCACATACAAAAGAAATAAAAGTGTAAGGCAACGAGCGAGTGCTTTTATGTGTAAATTCATGAAGTATTTTTGAAATTGACTGCTCTAGCAAGCTACGATGCGTATCAATCGAATCGACTGCGAATGCGTACAGCACGCCTTCAGACTCTCGCGTGGCGAGTCAGCATGTGCGTGCGGCTAACTGCTGTGCTCTGTTGTAGTCGGACGGCGTATAGGTTAGACAGGTTGTTTTCACGTGCGGCAACGTCAACAAATCGACTGATAAATAATAACAAAATGGAAAATATTGAAGAAATTGAAAGTGTTAATGGACAGCCGGAGGTGCTGCAAGAGGGCAAGGCAAAAATTTTAATTGACAAAAAAAATATATTTTACAATCCTGTGCAAGAGTTTAATAGGGACTTGAGTGTAGCCGTTTTAACACAATTCTCGAAAGATTGGACAGACAAAATGAACAATGATCCCAAAATTGTGGAAAAAAGAGGTCTTAGAGTCTTGGAGGCTCTATCAGCTACTGGTCTAAGAAGTATAAGGTATGCCAAAGAAGTGCCTGGTATTGATGAAATTGTCGCTAATGACATATCCGTCTCAGCTGTGGAGGCAATTAAGAAAAATGTAGTTTTTAATCAAGTTGACAGTATTGTTAAGCCTCATGCTAATGATGCTACAATGGTAATGTATGAGAACAGGAGAAACAAGTTTGATGTTATTGATTTAGATCCTTATGGTTGTCCAAGTATATTTTTGGATGGCGCTGTTCAAAGTATCAAAGATAATGGATTGCTGTTAGTGACAGCTACAGACATGGCTGTGTTAGCTGGTAATTCTCCTGAAACTTGCTACGTCAAATATGGAGCAGTCTCTTTAAAATCTAAGTCTTGTCACGAAATGGCTTTGAGAATTCTATTACAGCATATAGCCAGTCATGCAGGAAGATATGGCAAAGTTATTACTCCATTACTTTCTGTAAGTGCTGATTTTTACATTAGAGTATTTGTGAAAATTCACACTAGTCAGAAATCTTGCAAACAAAATACAAGTAACTTAGGTATGGTATATCAGTGTACAGGCTGCAAGACTTTAAATATTCAACCTCTGGGTATCATGCCTTCTGAAAATTCTTATAAAATACCAGCAGCTCCTGTCGTAGATAAGCATTGTGAGTTTTGTAAATACAAACATCAAATGGGTGGTCCTTTGTGGACAGGTAAACTTCACGACAAAGACTTTGTACATAAAATTTTAGAAAATATAGAAAGCGAAGAAGAAAACAATATCCAATCTTTAGGAACAATCAGAAGGATACATGGAATGTTATACGTCATTGAAGAAGAACTAGAAGTTCCTTTATATTACCAACTAGATCAATTAACATCAACCATAAGAGGAAATGTACCGCCTATGTCTACCTTTAGATCAGCTATATTAAATGCAGGACATCAAGTCTCTTATTCTCATGCTAATAAGTATTCCATAAAAACAGATGCACCAAATACTGTAATATGGGATATAATTAGGGCTTGGGAAAAAGAGAATCCAGTGAAAAGAGAAAAATTTGTCGAGAATAGTCCAGGCCTGGCCATCCTTGAAACGGAAACAAAAATAAATGTATCATTTGAAAAACATCCTAATGCAGTGCCACAGTCGCAGCAGAAAAAAATGACTCGCTTTCAATTAAATCCAAGTGCATACTGGGGTCCTGGTACAAAATCCACAACAATAGTTCAGGATCAGCGAGCACAAAGCAAAAGGGAGAAGAACCAAAACAAAAATAAGCGTAAAAGAGAGAGAAATGCCAAAAATGATGAAAGTATGGAAGAAAAAAAAGCCAATACATCTGCTGAATAAAGTTTTGTTTGTAAATACTGATAGACAATAAAAATATTTTTTTCCAAAATAGTTTTATACAATTATTATTATTATTATTATTACTATTATTATTATAATTATTATTACTTTTATTATTACTTTTATTATTATTATTATTATGAAACTAAAAACATCTATAATTGTTTAGAACCTGGGTGAATTTCTTGCAGGCTTTTTCTTCTCCACTTATTTTCATAATATGTTAACATTTACTCGTGAAAAATCTTAAAAAACGACAAAATGTACAAAGTCATTGCTATGAAGCCATCTCTCTTTCGTTTACATATTTTTGACATGATTATAAAACTATTTACTAAAAAACCAGCTAAAAAATGGGAAAATTTAGTTTTACTTAAGCTCGTTCGTATACATGTAGAAAGAGAAGGGTTTAGATGATTCGCGTTGAATATTTGATCGACGCCGAGCTCCAAGTTTCAAAAGCTAAAAAAATTCGTTTGACATGAAAAGCTACGTAAACAGCAACCTCTACAAGGCCAGTTTATAAAAAAGTCGCTTTATACATTGACGAAAACGCTCAGGGTACATTGACTGCTAGTGGTCAAAAGGGTTTAATTAATTTTTGGCAAGCATCTTGAGAGTGAACTCAAAGACCTGTAGTAACTCATTTAAAGTGGGTGATAATTAAATTGCGTTCAGGACACTTACTCAAGATGATCTTCTTTCAGTTAATTCGAATTTTATTTATTAATAGAATAATAGAATTTTGTTATTTATGAATTTCTGGCGATTTGCTTGACTGAGGAGCGTAATAAAAATACTTTAACCATTTAACTTAGATACATCGCAATATTTTTCGTACGTTAGAGCGTAAAAAAGTAACTGTAAACCAACTAATTTTATAACAAAATTCTAAGATTGAATTGTGGCATCTTAGTGAAGAAAAAAAATATTCCTAGTATTTTTTTAAATGAAATGAAAATGAAAACAAGTGAAAATATTTTACGTAAAAGCTAAGAAAAAAATTCTGTGGACGTGGGTTTGTTTCAACGAGTCAGTATGATTTTAATCGAGCCAAAACTGTGTGCACGTAGAATAAATCGATCCTTCAACTAGGTTTATGTAGCCACGCGAACGATCAACGATCTACAATTAACATCGCGCAGTAGTCTGTAGGTGTCACCCTCGCACGATTATTGTTAATTACACTGCGGAGCACAGGTCGGCATATAATAGCTGCAGTCGAGCTCTTATACTCGAAATCAATCCAGTATTGTAGCCTTTGGCTTCCGTCCAACGGCTCGGCAAATTCATATTATATGTGTTATACATGCATCGAACAAGGAGTGGGCTTGAGTCGTTTATAAATTGCACCCAGGGCGGTTTTATCAATTTTTTTCATTTACAATGCGAAATCAACATGAATTCGTACGTGTGTAATATAATAATTGGGTTGAATATCAATTTAAGTCATTACCTGGCCACGTTATCGCTGATGACGAATTCGGATTCTTTACGGAAGCCGCACATCCTCACGTCAAGAGCAGTTATTGCCGAGCATGATTTCGCGACGATTTCAAAGGCTTCGCCAACTGTAGAAAATTAGTTTATTGTCAAGTGCACGAGGGTATTAAAAAGTGAAATAGTAGATGTTGTATATGCGTCGAGCGACAACTTGAACTTTTTTCATCTGTAAGTTAATACCTCTAGAAATATTTTCCGAACTTGTATCGTAGGTCTCAAGGGAAAATGTCAAGGCCGGTTTCAAAGTATTATTTGTACTAACCGATTTCACCCATATAGTTGTTGGAAATGTCGAGCTCTGTATCGACGAGTTTCGTTTGACCAGAGGTGAGAACTTCGGCCATAGACATGCCACCGCCACCACCGAGCTCACAGCCGCTCACGTTCAGGTACTCCAGATCGGGTATTCTCAACAACACTGATACTCAAACGTTTTTTACGTCAACTGTAATTGTGATGCATAAAAAAAATTATACTCACACGAAGCCAAATGGTGTGCTCCTTCTGGGCCAATCGGGTTTAAACGCAAATCTAACTTTCTGACTGCAGGGCCTCTTCTTTTTTCGTTCACAAGGAGCATCCCTCGAACTATGCCAGCGATACCTTCCGGTCCAATATTGTTATCCACCAATTTAAGGGTCTTTAAGTGGCAGATTCGCGGTCTTGAAGTAAAAAAGCCCCCGATTGCCTGAGCTCCGCCGTCACCCATTCTGCAGTGCGAAAAGTCAATTTCGCTGATCTGCTCAAAAATTTCAAAACTTACTTACTTGTTACTTTGAGGCAAACATCTATCATTCAATTCCTGGCTATATAGTAGAAAATATCTGAGATTAATTATTTTACACTAGAAAGCAAGAAAATTCTCACTTGGCGTGAGCCAATATAATCCAAAAAAGATAAAAAACAATGTAACATCGTTTTGTAATTGAAAATGCTATTCAAGGTCGATTACTTTTTCCTGCGAACTTTTTTATGTCTTTTTTGAAACTCTGATTGTTGCACACACAATACCAGTATATTGGTGATTCTTTGTCAACCCTACCTGGTCAAAAAATTGTTGTACATCTTACATGCTGGATATGTTTTTTGGTATGCCAGAAATGACCCAGAATTTTAATAGAATTTTTGAGATCGTCTATCAACTTTTTTCAGAGACCCAAAGTTGTAATTTTTCCGAAATTCACGATCACAGTAAGTATTAAAATAATTCCTAGCTCGGTATAAAGTGAATTGAACGAAAAAGTACAAGAGAACTTTTTTGTTGAAAACTATCCAATTTTTAGAATTAACATATTCCAACGTCATAACCTAGAGGCTTATACAATAAAAAGAAACACAAAACTCAAAATCTAATCAAGTGCGTTCAAAAACATTCACAGAAATTCTTCAAGTGTCAAAAATGATTATATGTATTTTGTTATAAATTTGATGATTTCCGCCTAATATTACTACTCTTGTATAATAAATCGAACTCATTTATCGACGTAACATTTCTTTTCCATTGGCGTTGAATATTTCGTATGAAATTCCACACTCGAATAATCGTGTAGCAGTTGGTGTAGTATAGATACATCGAGAAGTACTACATTACACTTACACTGACACTGACAGCTAAACCTTGGAGAATCGCAGCAACTCGGGGCCGATCAAGATTACTTCGCGTGATGCTGAATTTCTTTAGGCAAGGAAGATTCTTCGCCCCTTTGCCAAGCTTCAGGCTATCCTCTATGGAAAACCTGTTGTCGTTATCGATACATAGAAGAAGAGTATAGTAATTTTTCATTGTTGATTTCGTTTATAATATATTAGGGTAAAAGATGGAAAATGCGTCGAAGCGATGGATGAGGTATTTTTTCAGTTGGCAGCAATTTTTCTCATCGCGATGGCAAAAAGCGTTGCAAAATAGCCCATGATACTCACTCAAAATCTTTCCAATCGATGAGATTGTCGAGATATATGACGCCTACGTTGATTAACAGAGACGTCAAATTGGGCAACTTAGCGAGCACCAAGTTCATCGGTATGTGGTAGGTCTCGGGTTCGCGTATCTGCGGAAGTTTCAGCTGGCGCGCCTCTTCGGTGTCTTGGGCGTCCGGTACCTCAGGCAATTTCATCCTGCACGCGGCCGGGTTACAACAAAATCCACTTTACTACGCATATATAGACACACATCAATGCGAAAGAGAGACGGAGAGTGAGAGCAATTTCAGTGCTCAAAATCGCAAATCCAAACGTACGGATATAAGCACGCCCGAAAGCCTAATTTAACTTTCAACTTTGCCTCCGTTACTGGCTCTACTACTACTGCTGTTGTGCTGTGCGAGTGAGAGAGTGAGAGAGAGAGAGCATATTGCAATGTTCGGGCGGACAAAGTTTAAATTACGAGCCAAGTACTATTACGACTTTTGTAATTGTTGGCTTGAACCAACTCTCTCTTTCTCTCTCTCTGCCAGCTTTATTACATAAAGCAGCATAGGTAGCACGTAAAGTCGGGGGCAAGTGCGACCGAGCAAAAATGAATCGGAGAGGGCTCTTGCGAGCGAGATGAGTATCGGCTATTTGCTCCGACTATATGCACGTATACTACAACACACGCTGTAATTGTGTGTACAACGAGTCACTGCTACACGTATGCACGTGCGCCCCCGCGTCGGACCAATGAATCTTCTCGGCCGCGTATGCGAGAGATTATGCTCTTGAATTGTATAGCTTGTAAATTTGTGTTTTGTGCAGATAATGGAGAGCCGCGCGGGGTTGGATCCGCTCGAGCTTTTTGTTGCATGTGGCCTGCATTGTCTGCTGTGTGGCCTCGTATTACATGCGGCACAACTACGTGTTCGGTACTGTGCACAATTACGTGTTTCAAAGCTCGTTGAGCTCATACGAATAATATATTGGACATAGATGAGAGCTTGTAGGCACCTCGCGCCGAGCAACTGTCGCAACTTCAGCTCCTTCACGTAAGGGGAGTAAAGCTCCATTTGGGCCTCGATCTCGCTGAGCTCCGCCTCGAAGTAAGCCGGCTCCAATCTCTCCAAGTAGTCGGCCAAGTGGCGCTCGCAGTAGAGCTGACGCCACGAGTTCCCGTGCATACCCGGATCGTTGAATTTCCATCTGCCCAATGAATAATTCCTTGTATCGTTACTACTGTACGCAAAATATCTTGGCTTTCGTCCAACCAAAATACACGAGTGCGTTATACATCGATAAAGTGGGGGACAATTTGTCCTGCTGGGCGATAAGGCCTCGGCAGTGCGTATGTACAATGGAATTAGACACTTATAAAATAGAGAGAGAAAGAGAGAGACTCTTTGGCGCGAAGCCCATCGCGTACACAATTATACGAGTTCGATTAATGGTATCCGCTCGTACCATGATTTTTTTTCTTATCTTTTTACTGTCTCGAGATCTGCATCCAACCGTTGATTCGATTTTTCACGTCACAAGCCTGGGGTAAGCCGATTTGAATTCAATCAGGCCTGCATACAGAGATCTAAATTCAGATCTTGATAGCAATAAAATATAATATGAGTTGATTTGCGAATTTTTTACGAAGCCTTACATCGCTTGAATTTCCTCTTATCTTTTTCTTTTTCTATCTTACTCGATATATCGGAAAAGAGCTTCTCTTTCTTTCTCTGTCAATCTGTGTCATCGAGCGAGTTAAATATCAGCTAGCAATATCGATTATCTATACGATTTTTATGTTTCGGGCAAAAACGATTCTCGTTTTATATGTACGTGGTCGCGAGCGATCAAAAAAGGTATTTCATCGTGTGTAGCACTTCTCGTAAGCGTATGCAAGCATTTATTTATGTGAAATAATAGGGAGCTTTGCGTCGCACACGAGCAAGACAATTGTCAAGTTTACATACTTGTACACGTTTCGCGATTATCGTTGGGCACAGAGAACGCACGGCTAGTTGATTAGTGAGAGGAAGGTAAAATTTACGATTAAAAATCGACTAATTCGTTTTGTCGGAACTTGCCTGGCTTCCGAGGCTCTCTGCCAGAATATCTCGTAATCGATCATCTTGATGGCCATCTTGAAAGGTATCCCAAGAGGTAGCAGCTCCAGCAGATGATCCCTATCGGCGCTTGAGACCAATTCGTTTAGTACCGGCCTGGCGAGCCAATTTCTCGCCAGAACTTTTAAGGCCAAAGTCTTTAAGCTGTCCGGCCGGCCTTGCGTGTCCCATTCCTCATCCTCCGAGCGCAGTGTACGATTCAACTCGTTCGGCAGCAGCTTCGTTTCCTCCGAACATCTAAATGCATGCAAATGGATTTTCCATTATCAAGCTCTTGTATTATCTATGAATGTGAGCGCAAAAGTGGGATGACTGAAAAAATTTATTACCTAAAAGCCTCGAAAGCGTGATCGGGTATAGTGTGGGGAATCCTCATGTTTGCTGGAAACTTTGATAATATCTACTTAATTGCATATTCTTGTTTATGTTTAGGAGTGTCCAGAGGGAGTCGTGCACGAAGATTCCTTCAAGGACATCTACGCCAAGTACTTTCCACACGGCAGTGAGTATAATGTCATCACAATTGCTAATCACCTGCGCGAATATTGCACATGATTAATTGTACAAATTATTTATGCAAACATAAAAAAATTTGATAAAATTGACTCTATTAATGATTTTTTCTATTAGGTCAATGTATCTCCTAAAAGTTAATATGCAGTTTTATAACAAAAATAATGCGTTTCATGTATTGTTGATTTTCGTGTTATTTCAGATTCCAGCATCTATGCTCACTATGTGTTCAAAGCATTCGACGTTAACTGTAGTGGTGCCATCAGTTTTAGGGTAAGACAATCATCCGATCACTTATATTGTTATAACATAAACCCAGAATTGTTTCCATCTCTCTGATTCATGTTTGAAAATACAATTTTTGAATCGTTAGATAAGAGGAACTTTTAATTGGGGACAACCCAAAAAGTGAATAATTTGTTGTGAAAAAAACAAATTTTATTATTTAAACTACCATTGTAAAACTTTTTTTGATTATACTTGGGATGAATGAGGTTGACTGACAAAATAGCCTCGAGTTATCTTTACAATATTATTTTCCTGCAGATACTGCACCAATGATTTACTTTCCTAAAACTTTTCGTAAATAGAGCGAATATTTTTCAAGCTAATAAAAACGATTTTAGTAACGTCTTTTTCTTTCATAATTCATGATGTTACTTTGTATGGCTTTATCCATTCCTTCTACTCGATTACTATAAAGAATCCAGTTGAAGAAGGTCAACCAGATAATTAATTAAATTGTTTCTTTAGTTACATAAAAAATAGTAAAAGATACATGGAAATGTGTGCAGGACCTTCTGGTAACGCTATCCACTCTATTGCGGGGGAGCATCTATGAAAAGCTCCGCTGGACGTTCAAGCTGTACGACATCAACGGCGATGGTTGCATATCGAAGGGCGAACTCGGTGAGATCATAAGCTCAGTGCACGAGCTCATGGGCCGAAAGCACCGCGAGACCGAGGAGCGACAGGCCCGCGAACAGCTCGAAAAAGTCTTCCGGAAACTCGACCTCAATCAGGACGGAGTCATCACCATCGAAGAATTCATGGAGAGCTGCCTCAAGGTTTGTAAGATGAACCGAAACAACTAGCAAAGCTCAATAAACGAATGAGCGATCGAATTATCTCGTTATCTTTCGTCGACAGGATGAAGTCATAACGCGATCTCTGCAAATGTTCGACAGCGATCTCTGATCTCCAGAGGACGGGATGGCCGCGAACTTGAGCGGCCGTCCCGGCAGCGCCCAGGACGATCTGCAGCAGCTTCAGCAGCACGCGGCCTCGACGTCGGTCGGTGTGATCCTGCCGAGCGCCGCGGCTGGCACCTCCGCCTCCGGCGCTACGATCGATCCAGCAGAGCTGCGCCGCAGAAACTTTCCCGCCGACGTGCTCTCGGCCACGGCGACCTGGTCGACTTTCTCGTCCTCGTCGCCGTCGCCACCGCCCTATCAAGAGCTTCGGCAGAGAGGTAACGCCGCCGGGGGTGGCGCCGCTGGCTCGGCTGGTGCGTCCGGTTCCGGAAACGCTCCTGGGACTTCCTCGTCGTTGTTGTGCTAGGAAAGCCTGCAGCTGAGCGCGGAATTCATGAACGAGTAAATTTTTATCCTCGCGGCCCATCTTTCATTCGCTCGACTTTTCACACGCAAATGTACGTTCGTATACAGCCGCATACGTAGCACTAGTGCAAGCAACCCTTATCTCGAATAAATCTTCTGGCCTTTTTATCACTTGTGTGCACCTTTGGAGTCGGCTATTCGGAAAAGAGGTTAACACTACGAGTTTGCGTGTGCGCGAGCTGTATTGCACGAAAACGAACGTCTTCCCACCCTGCCCTCCGCCTATTTCCATTTACATATACATATTACATGTGCAATGCTGCATTGGAAATTTTGGATTCCATCCAGCTGTTACACTCCTCCTGCCTCTCGCGTGCAGTGGTCCGTCTCGCTCGTACCAGCATGTGTAAACCATCCTTTTAGCCCTCGTGTGCGGTCAATAAATCGTTGAACAAGTAGATTTATTAATCTATAACATTTCTCAAAGGAAGTAGTATTGAGTGGAATTGAGCGAACGAAAAATGAGTTTCCAAAAAAGAGTGATAAATAAGATCTCAACTTGCGTGGATACGTAACATTGGCAACGAAGGAATCGTTTCCCCCGACTTTCTTCTTTTTATTACTACAAAAATGAATGAATAAATACACTCAAATCACATTAGTTGTACACATCCACGGACACGTACGTGCAAATCAAATACGTACGCCTATACATATAACATAGTCGATAAAGTGTATTTACATTGTTAAATAATAAACAATAATGTGCCAAAATACATGTCGTTCATAGGCGTATACGAATTAAAATATTATATTATATTATTATACATATGCGAGCTAAAGATTTTTTGAAGAATCAACTAGAACGTAATTACTGTCTGTATATCAACAACGCGAATCTCCCACAAAAAAGAAAGGCAAGAGCGAAAGTGAATACGCAAAGAATAATCAAAGAGAATAATTAATGACTTGATAGCAAAAATATACATAATCTATGTAGTCTTCGCGTGGCTGTGAATTCAAAGATCGTCCAGTTGTAGTAAAAACAAAGAAAACAAATGTTAAAGATGTGACACACATTCGTAATAAGTATCATGTATATATAAGACGATCTCATTTCGCTCGGCTTGAGGAAAAAAACACGACAAATCATTGAAAAAAATATAACGAACGAGAAGACGTGTAACGAACGAACAGGAAAAAAAATAAACAGAATCGGAGTAGTACACTTTTTTCTTCCAATCAAAGCGAATCGATTCGAGACTAATTATCTTTTACTGCGTACGTAACGGACGAACATAATAAAAACTTTTTTTTCATTTATAAGATATTTAAAAAAACGTCGTTTACATGATTGACAAATCTTATTCGATAAATTGAGAGCAAAATAAAAGAAAAAATGAGTACTCGAGTGCAATGTATGTATAGCGTGCAGCTTTGCTACGGGGAGTTGTCACGCATTTCATCTCTGTACTAACGCATAAGTACACGTACACTCTACACACTACACACACACACACACACACACATAGAAGAGCTATAAGGCTGATTCTACCGAAACATGATTTTTTCGAGTGCAAGTTTGTGTAAAATAATGTACAAATGTCATTTCTAAAGGCTAATTTAAAGGCTGAGCTACAGCTATCTTCTTTTTAGATTAAACTTGAAATTTTTTATGAAACAAAACTTTGTGTTTCACTAGTATGGAAATCGTTCTCAATTCATTGGCAAGTAGCTTCTCGTTTAAAATAATAATTTTTAACATTCCCTAAAAAAAAAACATGGTTTTTATAACCTTTCAGTGTCATAAAACCAAATTTTACGCACGGAGTGTAGAAAAAATCGCATGTAACTAGTAGGTAGGGAATATGATTAATCACTTGCTGCATAATATACTATACTTCCAAATGTTTTTGTTTCTGCACAAAACAACATTAAAAGTATAATAATAAACATATAATAATTATGCAAATTAAAAAAAAAATTAAACCCTCCAAAAGAAACGAAATTATTTCATTTTAAGGATGTGACTTTGAAAATGCCCAAAAAATGCTCACGTTTTATTTTTGTATATTAAAGTTTAACTAATTTTCGTACAAAATCACTACATGAATTCTAAAAAAATTACTTTGAAAGTACAAATCAATAAATCCTTATTTTTTGCTGACTCTTAAATTAAAACTTAACTGCTCTTTTTTGTAACCACTGCGAAAATATTCAAACACACACGCATGTGCAGCGCGAAAAAAAAACAAATTTGGGTTTTAGACAGGGGGGAGCGGCATTTTGCACTTTTATTCCTGTACCAATTGTAACAGACAGTAAATTATGATATTTTTACTGTAGAAGGAGATAGAATGTCACTCTATGAAAGCAGTGCTTTGAGACACTGGGGCAGGCAAATGGCGTGTTTTGGTAGAATCAACCAGGTGAGCATACATACTGTAACCAAATGAAAGATATGCATTCGTAGGTATGTGTCACCTTGTGCATGCATAAAAAAGCGAGAAAATGAGATAAGTGTAGACACCAAAGGATCATACGAATGCAAAGCTGTTCTCGTTATCACCGCACAGAATGAGTAAATATTATATGCGCGCTCAGGTTTTAATTCGCAAAACAGAGAAATAAGTAAAAATGTTTTCGTTTACTTTTTTACAATGAGTCTTATTGTTATTGTTATTGCTTTTATTTCGCGTTTCAAATTTAATTAAAAGCAAATACATAAAAAATACAAGAAAAGAATATAAACACTTTTTTAATTACAATCGTTGTGTTACTTAACATACAAAGCTTTCGATATTGCAATAGTTTTATTTAGTGTATTTTTACCTCTCTTCCTTTCGTGCGCGTTCATAGGTCGATATTCTAGAGAGTAAAACTTTCCGAGTGGGAAAAATGAATATTAAGCGATGCGAAAGAGTACTTATCGTTATCATTCAGTGAGTAATAATAATATAGACGAAATAAATATACAGTATACACGTATACACACATATATACACACGGTGTAGGTAATACTAACTACGTAATACAAGCGGATCAGTTTTGTAAAATTAGTCGTCAGGGTAGATAGTTGATTAAGAGACGTTAATTAATGATACTTACATTATTATGTATTACTAGTACCTATACATTTAATACGAAAAAAAGTTGTACGTCAAAAAAATAATTACGAACTGTTAAAGAACGTGAATAGTTATCATAAAATATATCATACATTATTTGCACACATCATTTTGTATACTTAAATTATATTAAATTGTGAAATATTTGTTAAGGACTTTGTGTCATTCCATATCAAATACATTTAGATTTTATCTCTTGTTGTATTTTATAAATTATGAATAATATTATGAATAATTGAAAAAATGTATATAATATCAGTATGAGTTGATGTGATCACAAGACAAAAAAATGTTGATTTTATGCATGAGAGCTAGGATTAAACTACATAAGGAATTTATAAATATTGTGTAAGGTTTAATTTAACGAAGAGAACGAAAATGCCGGTGACGATTAATAACACCAAAGCTAACTCAATTAACTTGAAGCTTTTACGCATGCTTTTTTTAGTAACTTGAATTAAAGAGAGAATATTGTCACATGAAAAAGTCTTTGTAAGCGTAAAATGTGTTTTAAAATGTTTCTACTCGATTTTTATCTTCTACCACTTTACGTATTTTTTCTCGTAACAAAATTATGTTCTTTCAGTTGACTACTCACCTAAAAATTTAACCTGCAAATTCTTTAGCAATCAAAATATACCAATCGAAGAAATTCGCAATTTGTTACTATTGTAAAAGTTAAATCTAAGCGTTTTTGTTAATTAATCTTTACTGATAAAAACTACTAATTTTAAAAACACGTTCGACTTAAACTGAGAAAGTTTCATGAAATTCAAGCTTTTCTGCAAACAGCAGTTGATGTATAAATTGTAACCCGCCTTGACAACGTGCGCGTTTCGATTAAACAGTCCACTTTTCTTTCATCTGGAATAAAGAAAACTTGAAGAAAATCAAAATTAATCAAAAACTCGAATTATTCTTAGTTATAGCACGATATTCAAAATAATGTTAATAGAAAACTTCGTTTATAGTGTAAGAAAAAGAAAATTATTCAAGTTCGGATTGTTTACTTAAAGCTCATAGGTACCGGATAACTCACGCAAATATATAATACGAATGCGTGCGAGAAAAAAACTTTAGTTTACAACGGCCCAACTTTTTGAAAGAGTGTAAAAAATATCTCTGGAAATTCAATAGTATATTACTGCCCTAGGCCGGGAAAAACAGAAAAGTCCCCAAAACACGTGAAATAAGCGACCGAGGCGAAGCTGAGGTCGATTATCACGTGCACTGGGGCTTTCTTTTTTCCCGGTATAGGTCGGTATGCTATTTTACATACCCCGTGGCCCGAAAATAGCAATATTCCATTTAACGCAGCGGCAGGAAAGTGTTAGTTTCGGGCCGCTAGTATGTAAAAAACTTTTCTTTACACCTTTAAGTTTCCGAGTTCGCTTTTTCTGGCACGTGAGCCGCACTGTACAACGTAATGGTATTACGGCAACAACAAAATCAAAATATAATATACACCAGAATAATAATTTCGAGATTTGATCGAAATAAACAGTAACTTTATGATGAATAATATTTCCGAATTAGTTTTACACAATGAAGAGTAATAAGACAAGGTGAACAATTACATTACGATGATTGTTAACAAGAAATTACAAGATTTTTAGTCAATTCATTGAAATAATGAGCACATACTTCTCATAATGATAAATATAGCGATGAAAAGTAAGAGGTTTAATTATGATGACATTTGTATTTGCGACTGATCATGACAGATACTACGAAAAATGAATAAAAAGTAAAAAATGAAATAAAGCGTCAAATTTCTGCACGATAGAGCGACATTTTTTCCAGTCGACTTTTTGCGATTATTACTAGGTCGTAAATGTAACTCGAGTGCGTTGTACTGTACGTATTGTAAGACTAATTGTAACATTGTCCCGAAAGATGTGTATAGTATAGCGGTCATTCATAATATTCCACGACCATCGCCATACGAAGACACCTAAATTGAAAGACGACGATTTTTCTAAAAAAATCCACACATTCACACGTTTTTTGAAAGGGTAAATTTAAATCTTTCTAATCAAACAAATACATATATATCGGATAGACTATCTTCACCGACTTTTTATATTTTTATCCACTGCTCTTTTATCAAACTGAAGATAATAATAATAATAAAAAATGTAATACGTATCATTGTTACTACGTAATCTTCTATTTAATGAGTAAAAATATGGCTGTAGAGGTTTCAGGCAATTAAAAAAATATTCGTCGCTTTGTAACTGCCAGCTTGGAGAGTAAAATAATGAAAATTTTGCTAAAAGAGAAACGAAATCCTGTGCTTTGTTTCTTCCCACTTTTTCATATCAATTAATTTTTTAAAACTATAAAATTATGGAATTATTACAATAAATATATTTGTTAAAAATTCTCTGCTCACAGGACAAAACCAATCGAGTCATCGATTTGCAAGTTCTCGAGGAAACTTGCACTACTTCTTTACTCTATTATAGCATTTTTTCAAATTCTAGCGACACCCAAATCAAAAAACCCATTGTCTCCGTTTGATTAAACTCGAAAAGTAGAAAACAGAGCATTGATTTCTTTTAATACACGTCCTCTTGATCTCACTTGAATTTCGCGCTAACACGTACATAAAGTGTAATGCTAAAATGCAAACTCGGCGTTTTCTTTACCATCAACGCATTCTCTTTTCTTCTTTTTTTTCAAAAGCGTGACATTAATTCAAGAGCAATTCATCATCTCATAAAAAACCGTTGAGGCGTACATGCAGACTAAAGTTGACCCCTTTCTTGTTAAGAAAAAAAAATGCTCCTTTATATATCGGCACATGGAATGACATAATTATTATTATGTCTATTATAAAATGTAACAAATACGTTGAGAAAAAAGACAACAAAAACAAAAAAATGATTGACGTGCGTTAAAGAAATTGTTGCTTGTGAGCGTGGTTGAACAGTTGATATTTATATTTAAAAGATATTTGTATTTGTGTGTGATTGTTGGACAAATTTGAATGCGATGCAATAAATAAAATTTTGCGGAACATAGAACAATTAAAAAAAAGGCGATTTCAGGAGAAAACTAGCACGTTACAGCTCTGCCTACGAAATAAACGTTAATTAATTAAAAATTCGTACTTGTAGTAATTGTTTTTTGGTAATTACTTCTTACAGGTAAGCCGATATAAAGCTTACGAATGATAAAATTCGAGGAAAAGTATAATACCCGGCACCACCCTCAGTGTAAAGTATTATGAAGTTTTTTTTCTTTTACTCATGAACAAACGAATTAACATTATAGTGGCGAAATTGTAAACATGCTAGTTTGGATTAAGAGCGTCGTTATATGATTTAACCCTTATAAGATCAAGTGGATTTATCAAATAAATGTTAATACGTGACATTCGACAACTACTTGATTTTTCTTCTTTCTCTCCAAGCATCCTTGCTAAAGTTAACAATATTTACAGTCTAGGGTAAACGATGGATCGTTTTCAGAGCCATTTTGACGTCTCAAAAGAGTCAAGTCCTTCGGCTCTGAGCCTCGCCAGCATGGGCCTGTAAATATCAGGCGCGAAGGGTAAAACCATACCACGTTGTTGGATTTCGCCTGTAAGTATTGCAAAAACGAGTGATTATCGTAACTGACTAACGTCGGACTAGGTCGAGCTCATCTCACCGTCAAGAATCATTTTGGTGGCTATGGCCGCGGGATATCCAACGGTGGTAGCCATGGCCGAGTGACCTTTAACGTCTCCATAAGTAACCATATTGACGGCACGCTCCTCGATTCTGTTGTCGGGCCAGCGAATGCTGACTTCGTGCCTGAGAATAATCAGATCCCTCTCGTTGGGCCCAAAAACAAGCTTCTTGGAGAGGAAATGGCTGAGAGTGTCCAAAGGCGTGTTGAGCTTCATCACGAGGTCCTCCTTGAGCAGACCCAGCTCCTCGATGGCCATGGCCCGCTGCTCGGAATTCAAGCGCTCGGCGAGCTTTTGCTTGAGATTCTCGTAGAATATGTCGTCGCTGGCGAGTCCGAGCAAGTTACAGACCATCGCACGCTGTGGGTTGACAAAATGCGCGTGAACGTCGCTCGACTGGAAACTTTTACTTCGAGGCTTACCCAAGTTATGTCGGGCCCGTTGGGATGCAAAGCGGGATGCGGATTCGGATCGATAAGGCCGAGCAGCTGAAGTCCCTGAACGGTGTCGGAGTAGCCTTGGAACCTGAGCGTACCCCTGAGGACCGTGTTGGCGTGCTGGATGCCGTAGAGGTCTTTGTACATGGTGCTGTCCCGGTTGGGGAATCCCTCGAGCGCGAAGCCCGGCAAGAAGTCGAGCTGTTGCACCGACGACATGAGATCGCCACCGCCGGATATCTCGACGACCTGACCGGCGTGAAAGTACTTGGCAGGCGACAGGGTGTTGAGCAGGACACCGCGCGGTGACCAGCTGAACTTGTACCTCAGCGGATTGCAGGAGCACTCGGGAGCCGGCAGACCACCGCACCAGGAGACAAAGGACTCGATGCGACCACCGGCTTGGCGCACGTCGTCGAACAACTCGAGAGCCAGCAGGTGATCGATTCCGGGATCGAGGCCAACCTCGTTCAAAATCGTAACTCCGGCCATTTCGGCTCTGCAAAGGATTCGGCTGCTGCAGATACGACCGGTGCAGAAATTAGCGACACGACGGATATACTCACTCGTCGTGCAAGGCCTTGACCTTGTCGTTGAGGTAGCTCGCGGTAACCAGATGCTTCCTGGCTCTGATGCAGCTCTCGGCGACGAGGTGGTGCAGCGTGTAGGGCAGCAGCGAGACGACGACGTCGGCCGCCTCGACCACGTCGTCCAGGGCCTCGGGCTTCTCCAGTACGTCGATGAAGACTGGCTCGACCCCCGAGTAGCGGTTGGCCAGAGCATCGGCCTCGTCCTTCAACTGCGAGCCGACGATTATGCGCAGGTTCTCGTCGCGGTGGAGGTACTCGACCAGGGGCGCCGACACGTAGCCGGCCCCGAGCACCAGCGCGGTCCGGCTCTTGGACTCGTGGCCGTTGTCCTTGTGCCTGCTCCGGCAATTCTGCGACCTCAGATCCTGAATGTACTGGAAGTTCGGGGTGAGCTCGCCGTTCGAGGCGATGATGGCCCCGTGGACGGCCGGCGTGAAGCTCACCTCCTCGAGGGGCTTCTTCGCGTCGGACTTGATGATGTCGAGGGCGAACGGGAAGAGCAAGTCGCCGAAAAAGTCGGTCGACTCTCTCGGCAGCTGCGTGGGNCAGCAGACGAATAGACGGCATTGAGTAAGCACTCTCATCGTAGAACACCTTATATCAAAACAGCGGAGCGGTGGCTGCAGTGAGCCCCTCAGCCCATTTGTAATAAAGCGAGTTTTGACTTTACATACTTCGTTTCTTATATATTATTGTGCTCAATCGACACTAGCAAATACTCACACTAGTAGTGACTTGTCATAAGCGTTCTTAACTATACTGCTGTCACGATACGGTAAATTATTCATATTATCAATTGTTGTGCTCTTTTATTACTCAAAATTTTAAATATCATGACCAATAGTCAATGAAACTTTTTAATCAGCTTTTCACTGAGAATTCTATTCATCCATTAAAGATATTGCACAAACTTGTTTATGTATAGTTGTTTATATCTACTATCAGCTTGTTCGATTCCATTTGTGTGTGTGTGTGTGTGTGTGTGTGTGTGTGTGTAAATAGTCTGCTCCGGCTTGGGTCTTGTGATACAGTTGTATCGTGAGCACGTATTCAAGCTAGGCTTTCAAGTAGTGTTAACTTTTTTGTCGCTCATCTTACTATTAAGTGAAACATTAGTTATATATTTTCAGAAAATTTGTGATTTACTAACTACTTATTTCCATTCAAATAATTTTGGACCATTTAAGGTGAATAAGGTGAAAGCTTATAAAATTTTACTTAAAAAACTTTCACAATGATGGTGCAAAAGGTAAATGAATTCATGCTATTGATTGTAATACTCAATCCATTTGCAGGAGCATATATGTATGATACTTATATTTTTTTTAGGAACAAAGTGAATTAAGTATATTCAAAGTAGTACTCATGCACTGTATTTACATCATAGCATTTCCTGTTATTGCTTTCTTTCTAAGCAAATTTTTACTGTCTAATGGTGAGTGAAATGAATTAATTAATAGTTCTTCTTTAAAAAAATTTTAAACCAATCTAAAAAAAATATTATGCATTCAATATATATAGGTATTTTTGGATTAAGTGCAGTTGCAAGTAACGTTTACGCAGCAGGAATTGCAATACTTGTCTTACATGTAGCGTTAGGAGCTTTCATATATAAAGCTTACACTGATTCTTCAGGTTCCACAAAGCCACAGTCCAAAGCAGATTGATCAAACTTTTTTTATTTGTATTTACTTAGATATAAAAATGCATCTAACTACTTTATTAAAATATTTTTAGAAATTATAGAAAAAAAATGTATCAAAAAGACAATAATTTTATTATTAGATAAGTTTTTTTATTGTTTTCTTACAATAAATTAATTTTTTTCTCCCAAGTATTTCACTGTGTATTTTTGGACATCATCTTTCCAAAACATAAAGTATAAAAATGAAGTTAATGTAAATACATATTGCAGCATACAAATAAAAACAACAAGAGCCAAAATTGATAAAATATTTCAAATTATTATTTGGATAATAATTGGTCTATTCCTAAATATTACCTCTCACATATGAGCAGCAAGTACATGCTAAATAGCATAATCATGTTCCAGCTGTTTAAATCGCGAAAATATGAGATATTTAATCATATCTGTTAATTTTGAATCATATTCACAATTCTTCAACTGCAAACTATTTTTCTATAAATATATTAGTGTATCTGCTCAAACTATATCATTTTATGAGAAGCAATATAATTTTTAACTTAATTATCAGTTTTTGTTACTTCAATACATCTAAAATGCAATAAATGTGTTATTAACCCACACTGAAAATGTATTTAAATGTTGCATTGGTGTTGTACAATAATTTAAAGTTTGAAGTTGTCGATTTTTAATGAGATCGCCAGCGATTTTAATTTAACTCTATTCAATTTAGAATAATACAATTGTCATGTCTACATGTTTCCAGTTGTTACACCATACATTTACTACTCTTAGACATGTAAGTTGTGAAGTTACTTTGGCGGTGTATAAGATATTTTTCACATTTTCAAAAATAATTTAAAAAGAATCAGTTTTTTTAAAACTGTTGTCAATGATTTTCAAGAAATACGTTTAGTCTATAAGTGATTCAAAGGTATAAAATTACACGAAAAATTTTCCTATAACATTCTTTACCACGAATTTGTTATAAACTTTTTTATTGTATCGGAAACTCGTAAAAGCGAAAAATTTTAATTGATAAAAATTGCCAAAAAAATTTCATTTTTTTCAAAGAGCATAAACACCATGTAAAAAATTAATTCTCTGACTATAAATCTTCATAAATTTGAGCACGTAGCTCAAACAATTAATCCATTTCTACTTGTGGAATATTGACAACAACGAAAATATACGTTACGTATATAATTATTAATGCTATCGAGATAGCGTGCACTACTAAATTATTAATAAATGAGTTCTACAAATGGATGAATAAGGGAAAAAGTCAATTTTAAACATTACTTATCATTGAAGCCATTCATATTTTCATTTCAATTCCACAATCTTAACATTTTTCAAATTAAAAAGAAGGAATTTACGTTTTATGAGTTATCAAAAACAAAGTGCTGTTTTGAAATTTTTGTTATCATTTATGTTAACTAATATTCGAAAAACAATCACTCCTCAACGCAGCTGATACTCTCATGGACGTTACCTAATAATTATTAAGATATAAATGCTCACTTTTTCTCTCAATAAACACACTAATTCATGAACATCTTGTCATTTTTTTTCTTTTAACTCGCAAACACAATATATTATTACACATACATGTTTGATTGCATTCGATGCCCATGAAGTAATACATATACATACAGGAATAGCATAATAGTCGCTCGTACTAAAGGAAAAAAATTAATCGCACTGGCTATATTCTGCGACGAGGTATGATTCGCTTGTTACGCCTCAAAATAGTTTTACGCTTTTCATTAAACTTATAACTGAGTGAACGAGGAGGTGAGGGGGCCTGAGATTATTCTGCTTGTGCATTAGCACCGTCGACATCCATTTGTTCTTCTGTGCCGGATTGACCGTTATTCTGAGCCTGTGGTTGTTTCTCATTCTTGTCTTTTACTTCCTCTTTGGGGGGTTCCACTTTCGGGGCTGGTTTATTAAGAATAGGCTTGATGAAGTTTTCGACGGACTGTAACACAAAAATAAAAATTCACAGTTAATTATCAAATCGATCTTTGCTTTAAAAAAACATTTTTAAAATAGTTAGTTATTTTACCTGTTTTTCTGTTCGAATCTGATTAGTGTAAATTGGAGGTTGTTGCGTACGTGGAGTTTTACTTAGCAGTGCACGCTTTTCTTCCAACCAAGTCCATTTTTCTTGAATGCATTTGTCTACTTTAGAGATTTCCTCCAATGTGATATGATCCCATTTACCCTCTTTATTCTCATGCGAAGCACGAATTTGATCCGCAGTCTTTTTCGCAATTTGTAGGAAATGAGCCATCTCTTCGATTGCAGGGCCTCTAGTTTCAAATTCTATTCTCAAGTCTTTGATTGGTTCACCTTGAGACCTCAGATTCGCGAGTCTGTCAGAGTACACTTGTCTCTGGCACTCCTCACCATCTTCGTATAACCAGTTTTCTGTATCTTCTAGTGTACGGCAAATTCGTTCACGATCTTCTTCTGTTATGAAAGTGGCTAATTGATCTTCTGACAACAGTTTGGAACGCAGATCATACACGTATTCTTCCAAAGCATTACGAGCGTCTACTCGTTCTTTTTCTTGTCTATCTTCTGCAACCATTTTACCCTGACAAATTAAAAACATTTTGTGTGTTAATCTTTCAATTCAAAATTGTACCATTTAGATTTCTAAAAAAATTAAAAAAAGCTAAATTACTTCTTTTTCTAATGCTGTGTCTAATTCTTGAACACTCAAACCAAAGCCATGAGTTTCTATTGGCAAGTCTATGAGACGAACTTTAATTTTGCCCTTGGCACCTTCCTCAGCCTTATCATCACCCTAAAAATAAATATTATAAGTATTATAATAGAAATACATTTTTGAATCAGTTGCATAAATAATCATGAAAATGTTAAACATGTCTAGCATAACAAAAATATAATATTTTCACATTCAATTTTGTGAATTATGAGAAAATAGGGGTAAAAAAAATTTTTGGAGTATTTAATTGAATCACAATGCTATTTAACAAAAGCTTCGTGCTATAGTATCATAAACTTGAAATAAACAAAAAATCAAATAATGAACACAAGATAAAAAAGTTGTATATTAGACAATTGTATCTTGGATAACAGAGCCCAAGTAAATTCAGTGTGAACATATATTTGAAATAGTCAGTTATTTGATAGTTTAAATTGGTTATTAGATAGATAGAGATAAATAACAGCGGAACGTGACACAACTTTAACTTGGACCCATGGCTATTTAATTTAAAATCAAGTAAAATATTCAAATGCAACATTTAAAATTCTCAAATGTTTCAAGTTAACAAACATGTACAACGATGGCATGATAGGCTTGTGATTGTATGACGCTTGAAGATAGAACGTAATTTTATACATTCAAATTTAAAATTTGTACATCAAAAGTTGAATTTTTGGGTCTGTTTAAAATTAATTTTTTTTTTTCAAATAAAAAATGATTTCCAATTGCATTATTCAAAAGGTTAATGTTATAGAATAAATGATTCTTTATAGATATGTAGTATTTAAGTGCATCAGAAGCTTTGTCTAAAGCTAATCACTAGAAATAACACACAGTGTTACTGACATAAAAATGAGATAATCTACACTCCATTCAATGAAATGATTATAATCTAAAAACATTCAATAAACTTTGTCTACACATAAAAATTGAGAATAGCACAAACATGAAAAGTATGCAGTACAAAAGTATTTGTGATTTGTTATATAAAATTAAAAATAGAGCAAACGAGAACGAAAAATTTTGCAAAAATAAATATCTAATTAAACCCAGCTTAAATATTTCATTAAGCATTGTGTGGGTATGTTTATGGGTTGAAATGCAAATTACACATGATATTACAATAAAAATGTGACTGTAGATGTAATGTGATAAAATATAAACGCGCATGGGTCCAAGTTTTTATAATGACAATTGAAAGTATGTGTCGCGTACCGAGCTGAACCAGGAAAGAGCACTTTTTATCCTAGAGGAGTAGGACGAGCCCTTGGCTTCATCCTCGTCATCTGAGCCGTGCCGCAACTTATCCATTTTTACCTAAAGACACACATACGTTTTTTCTAAATCTCAATTTTTTATCTAGCTCGATTCAAACTTTATAAAAAGACTGGCTGAATTTAAAAAACTTATCCCGTCATTAAATTACCTATTGCAGCTCGGCTATGAATATTGTAAAAATAAACGGGATGCAACACGAAAATACACACATTTCCAATTGAAAGTCGCAAAATGAGTTAATCGAATTACAAAAATTCATGCTGTTTGTCCACATGATCATGATCGTCGATACTTACTTCAGTAGCTGGGGCCTCTTTAGCTTCAGCTTCTTGATCAGTTTTATTTTCTTTTGATGGTGGTTGATCAACGTTCATAGAATCTTGCTCTTGATTATTTTGTTCATCTTCTTTATCTTGCTGAGATTCACGTTTTTCTACCAGTGAGGCAGAAGCCACAGTCAAAATGCCATTGATATTGATTCTAACTTTTACTTTAATCTTGGATGATTCACCTTCCTTATTTGGTTTTACATCTTTGATTGTGAATGAGCCTGTGCACAGAGTTAATTATGTATATGGTTTCAAAATATATGATGAATAATAAAGATGAATAATAAAGGTGTATGAACTTACCAATATCACAGGTAGGGAAATTAGGTGGTTGTTTGCAATATTTTGCTGTCAAAGTGAAGGGATTGGAACGGTAGAAGGTAAGCATTTTAGAGAAGGGAATTTGATGATTCTGTTCAAAAATTTCCATTTCACCAGCTTCACCTTGACTGGCGTCCCAAGTAAGTTTGATGGGATAGGGTTGAATGTCGGTGACAGCAAAGTCACGTACTCTAACAGCAGGGCTGAGCATAGCGCATTGCAAAGCACATCCGCGAGCCACTGCCTCGTCCTGATTAAGGGTCGTTGAACATGGTTTGTTAAAAACTTCTTCAACAAGTTTCTTTATTGCTGGAACTCTGCTTGAGCCACCGGCAAGTTCAACCGAGTGAATATCCTCCAACTTCAATTTTGACTGTGCCAAGCACGATCTGAGAGTGCTTTCGACACGTTTGAAAAGATGAGCGCACATAGCTTCCATATCGGTTCGCTGTAAATCGCCGTGGACATCTTTCTCGTCGATGAAACACTCGATGTTGATAGGAAGCTTCGTTGAGTTGGCTGACATTTGCTTCTTCAATTTTTCAACTTCACTGAGAAGACGCACGTAAGCGCGCGGATTTTTGTGCGCGTCAACCTTGTAACGCGCGAGAAAGTCTTTACTGAAATGATCGGCAAGAATAGCATCGATTTCTCGACCACCAACATTGCTGTCGGCCGCGCTGGCCAGCATCTTGAGCTTGCCCTTGTGGAAGGCACAGATGGACACTTGCAGACTGGCATAGCCGCAGTCGACGAATACTACGTTTCTTGGGCCTTGATCAGGCGCTGGCAAGTCCTGCTTGTAAATGCCGTAGGTCAGAGCGGTGGCTGTAGTTTCGTTAAACAGACGCAGAACGTTGAGGCCAGCGACGCGGGCCGAGTCGAGGAGAGCCTGACGCTCTGCTTGGGTAAAGTATGAGGGTACCGAAATGACGCAATCGTTAACAGCAGTCTGCAGGGCATTTACTGAGATGTCTTTCAACTTGGTAAACAACATAGCTGTTATCTGCTCAGGTGTGAACACGTGCTCTTCGTTAAGGTACTGAACCTATGGTCATTTGTACATGATACGATTTTTTTAAAGTTCTTCGTGGCTCGAAAATTTGAAAAATTAATTTTTGAAGAATGCAGTAAACTTACGTGAATGCCAATACCTCCATCGGCCTGTTGCGATGTTCTATATGGTAGAGATTGCAGCTCTTTTTGTGCCTGAGGATCGTTGAATTTTCTCCCCAAGAGACGTTTGAAGCCGTAGACTGTGTTTTTCATGTTCGTCACCATTTGATTTTTTGCGGCGACGCCAAGAATACGATTTTTTCCACTGAATGCGACACATGATCTACAAACAAATTCGATTAATTTGATGAAGTCATTCGATTTTAGTTTATTGATATATATGAAGTAACAGATCAAAAAATTAGAATTCATACAATGGGCTAAAACTGAAATTTGAGTGAGCGATGTGTCGCGCACGTGGGTTAGTCAGCGATCTTTAAATATCTACTTTCCTTATTCGTACGAGGTATCATCAGCGTCATTCGTTATGTACGAATTAACCGCGGATATACATACTTACTTACACACGTTTATTATGAACAACAACAACGGCCTCGAACTTTGAGAGTCGACGAGAGAAAGAACTTTTTCAGTGAGAACAAGACTCTGACTCAATTTTCCATAAAGAGATTGGGATTTATATACATTTAGTTGCGTTGATAAATCTCGTTTTTCTTTCTTTTTTTTTGCGTTCAAATTACAATGGCATTTTACAATGCCATTGTTGCAAGAGGGCTCTGTTGACAAATCCGACACAAATGGAAGGTTCTCCTAATTCTGCGGATATTTTTTATGATCATCTCCTTTCCTGTATCATGCTCTCATTTTTAAAAATACCATAAAGAAATCACTAGCAATAATTGTTTCAATTACCTAAATTTGAAAAATCAAATCATTTTTTTATAATTTTGATTAAGACGAATCAGTTTTGATCCTCATTTTTGTTGTTCTCTTTGACACGAAATATACATTGTCACCATGATTCGCTTTATGAATCGTATTCATTTGCTTCCTCAATTTAAGTTCAATTAAGTTAAAACTCCCTTAAAATTAATCCCGAATCATTCAAGTAAATTATCATGTTTCCAAAGTAACAAAATTTTAGCAAGAAGCGCAACGGCTTCTTAACCTCTTTTACCTTAAAACATCGAGTAACATTTAAAATGTTGAGAACTTTTATTATTTTCCGTCCCCAAACGAATTTTAAATGGCATAAGCAAAATACGAAGCTAGATCATGATTTATATAATTTATATATAATACGACTCAAGATAAATGATTGGTGCAGACGCTCGAATTGTGCAGTTCAATGTGTGTGCGTGCATGAGTGCGCGCGGGTGTGCATTATTTTAATGTATGCACAAATTGTGACATTTAACATGTTTAAAAGATCTTTCAGATTTTCCAGGTGTCGATCCGCAATATTCATTATGGAAAATTTGATAGTCAATCTCTCACGCCATTGAAAAATGACTGTTGAATCAGTATTTATAAATGAATTCAGTTTTTGCAACTTAGAAAAATTGTGAAAACAAAAATAAAGCTACGATATGTGGCAGCGAGATACATGCGAGCGAGAGCTTACAAGCGTAATCGAAGTTAGGAAATAGCAGAGAAAAAGTTGCCGAATTGAAAGTTCTCGAAAAGTCTCGGAAGCGCTGCTCTACGAATCAGCTTTGAAAATCGTATCGATACAGCCAAGAGTAAATCAGAGTCGGGTGAAATTCGACATGTCTCTTCGGCATGTGGACAAGTCATGCGAACGAACGCGTGATGCGCCTCTTGTAGATATAGGTGTGTGAATAAAAGGCTTAATGCCGATATACTTACGGTGTTCCACGCAGGCTGTAATCATTGGCAATGGTCTCGATACCACCAGCCCTGGCAACGGCGATGTAACAATTGTCGTTACCAAAGTCAATACCGATGACAGACATAGCGGCCATTTAATTTTTCCCTCTCACGGTGAATATGATGGTCCTCGCGTGTCACAGCAAGTATGTCGTTACGTAGATTAGTCGTTGACGATGAGCGAAGAAATTTTCGCGCTAACTGAGGTTAGGTCTGCTTTTTTGCAACAAGTCCACGAAGGCGTAAAGTCGATGAAAAATCTTCGATGACGATGTTGTGTCGTGTCAAAATGAGTTTATGCTTTGAACGATAACTTTCGATGTTAACGAATCTTGATCAATATATGTTACGATTAATTATTTGTACGAAATATATAGGTATGTTAAGTATTCGAGAAGTTTCACACTCGAGAGTTGGCTTGCGTTGTTAACGCTTCGTCGTTTTCTGCTAAACTGAGACTGTGGAGCCAGCTGCCAGTGCCGCCGCGGCGAACCCCCGTCCTTCCGCGATTCGAGCGCGCTCAAACGAAAGTCAGCGCCGCGAGTTCATGGCATGTATAGCGCGGCGCAATGCGCATTACATTGCCGGCACAATATGTGTACAACATCGCCACGCGTACTTCACTTTCTGGAAGCTTCTGGAACGTCCGGTTATTTTCCATCGCTGGCGCGAATCCCCCGGCAGTTTCGCATGTGCTGCCTATATATATTTACATTATTATTTGTGCACACTGCGTTTGTGTGGGTGTACAGCAGTGCACGGTTGGCACTTGAGTTGGGGTGATACATCACACATTGCGTGCGGTGCGGTTGGTTTATCGATTTTCAGTGTATATGCTTGTACATTACACGTATATTACAAACAGCTCGCAGCTGAAGCTCTATACATATACACATGCAACCATGGAATTTTTGTGATATTTCATTCAGATTTTGTCTCGAGAGTGCGAGATTGTTCGATTGACTCGACGATCGTGTGTAGATAGTGGCTTGATCATGAGCTTGCAGAACACAAACGTTCGAGACAGCAACGATACGTCACGTCGCTCTTTCATATCGGTAGCAGCAATGAACACCATTTTCAAATTTTCCAACTGTCAATATTTTGTACCACAAATGGCAATAATTTCGCATAATCATATTATGATGCTCCAAAATAAACGACACTCTTTGGGAGCAACTTGAATTGCACTTGGTTCAGTGCAGTATCAATGAGTATTAAAAATTATGCGTGCACAACTTGGCTTGACTGATGTTCGAGTCTCAATTTTGTCAGCCCAGCCAACGAGATACCGCCAGCGAATTGCGACCATCTCACGACGTGAGTTAGCGTGGCCCGCATAAGTAGCGTGTGATTGCGTCACGCACGTGGCCCGCAACGTCAATGCATATGCATGAATATATATATACTTATATGTATATAAAACGTATAGGATAATGTGACTTCACTTTACGCGCTCGTGTTCAATCGCTCGTACACCAGACTCGGATACTTCAACAGTCAATAGCAAAGGAGAACGCAGCTGTTTATCGTCAGCTCTTATAATTTTTATTGCTTAATAAATTATTGATACTAAAGTATTACACAACGTATACCGATATGCCAAAATAAAACTTTTGATCTCAAAACCAAGAATGAAGATCTAACCATTGCCACCAATTGAAGAATTAAAAATTCAGATTCAGCCGATATGTCTAATTTGTGGAATTCTCGACTGAGATATTTGGTGAGAAAAGCAAAGAGTTTTGAGTCAATATTAGAATGGAACTGTCGCAGAAATGAAACTCCGGGAACTTCGCATTGCAGAGGTTATCAGGCTCTTCGAACAGCCAGGTGCAATAATTTGAATATTAGTTCCGCTGCTAATGAGAGCGAAAGTGCAAAAATAGAGAATCAACTAAGTTTTGAAAGAATAACACACAATAAAAAAAGTTTTCAAAATTTGGGGCTCGTGCTAGGTGGCCTAGGTTTTGCTCTATTACTCTGTGATAACCCACACACGCTTTCTGGTCAGTGTTATGTTTATACATCTTTTTAACAAACAAGTCAAGTGTTAATAACAATTATTTTTTGTCACAGTTAGGAGATTCTTCTTAGCCGCTCAATATGGTAATATACCTGACTTGAAAAGGGTAAGTTACAATAAAAAAACCCATCAAAGCCAACAACAAGATATATATTATTCAATTTTTTTGAAGGTCTATAATTAGTTAGTTCTGGTTATATCATCAATTAAAATTTTCAATTTTCCTGCTGGCTTTGATGTTCTTTTAATACAATTTTTTTACCTTTCAAGTTATAACCCTAATCTTGCTGTCCTATAGTCTTTAGATAATGGAATTGATCCAAATATGAAGCATCCACTAGGTTGGACAGCACTACAAACGGCTGCAATCAATGGTAAAACTGAAGCGTTAAAATTACTGATCAAACATGGAGCTAATGTAAATGACAGTGATGACTTTAGTAATATTTATAAAGTTGCTGTGGATAAAAGGATGCATCCATCTGAGGGTAAATTTACATTTATTTTACATTTCAACTTTTCAAAATTGAATTTTTGTAATTATTTTAATTTTAGCTCTGAGTCAAAGAGAAAATGAATTCTCAGATAGATTGATAGCTCGAGCTACTTTCAAAGGTTTTACAGCATTACACTATGCTGTTCTATCTGGTTCAAAAGCTTGTGTAGAAATATTACTAGAAGCTGGAGCCAATCCAACAATAGAAAACGAAGCAGGTCGAAGAGCTGTTGACTATGCTTACATGGATAAGGATATAGAAAATATCCTTATAGCTTATTCTTTGAAATTTGATGAAATGCAAAAAGAAAAAGTAAGCTAAGCATAAATAATTTTTGATAATATTGTTTGTATTTTGAAGAAATCATTATTTTTTATTAGGAAGCCGAAGAAAGAAGGCGGTTTCCATTAGAACAAAGATTGAAACAGTATATAGTTGGACAGGAAGGAGCCATTTCAATTGTTGCCTCAAGTAAATATTGCAATAAACGCTCAAAAATCAATTTATCGAAAATATTTAGTTATTTTTTTATGTTTCACGCAGCAATCAGACGGAAAGAAAATGGATGGATCGATGAAGAACATCCTTTAGTTTTTTTGTTTTTAGGTTCTTCTGGTATTGGAAAAACAGAGTTAGCTAAGCAATTGGCAGCATATATTCATAAGAATAAAAGTGATACATTTATAAGACTTGATATGTCAGAATATCAAGACAAACACGAAGTTGCCAAACTAATTGGAGCACCACCAGGGTACACACATAATAAGCATATATCATGAATAAAATTTCAGTTGCAATATAAATTATTTATTTGACAGATATGTAGGTCATGATGATGGAGGTCAGCTGACCAAGTTACTCACAAAAAATCCATCCGCCGTCGTTTTATTTGATGAAGTCGATAAAGCTCATCCTGATGTTCTTACAGTATTGCTGCAATTATTTGATGAGGTTGTTGGCCACTATTTCAATATACCAATAAGATGAGTAGAGTTTTCAATATGCTTCTTTTACAGGGTAGATTAACAGATGGAAAAGGAAAAACGATAGAGTGTAAAAATGCTATATTTATAATGACATCTAATCTTGCAAGTGAAGAGATTGCTGAGCACGCAATGCAACTTCGAGGAGAAACAGAAATAATAATAACTAAAAGACTTGACGAAAAAACTCTTGAAGATGCAGAACCAGAAAACATAGAAATTTCAAGACATTTTAAAGATCAAGTTGTAAGCGCTTAAATTATTTAAATGAAAAATGAATACATACTTGTAATGTTGATAATTAAATTTATTAATATATTCTCAGGTTCGCCCAATTTTAAAGGCACACTTTCGTAGAGATGAATTTCTTGGTCGTATAAATGAAATTGTTTATTTTTTACCATTTTCACGAGCAGAACTCCTAAAATTAGTCGCCAGGGAACTTGAAGCTTGGGCATCAAGAGCACGTGATCGTCATAAGATCGAAATTAAGTGGGAACGAGAGGTTTTATCAGTTTTAGCTGATGGTTACGACTCTCATTATGGTGCTAGGTCAATCAAGTATGAAGTCGAGCGACGTGTTGTGAATCAACTTGCTGCTGCACATGAACGTGGACAACTTGGTAAACTGACTTTTTAGATTTTCAATTAAGGATTCGGAATTTTTATCAATTAATAATTATTTCAAATAAACAGAAAAAGGTTGCTGCGTTTTGCTGAAAGCTCGGTGGCATGAAAATGGAAGTAGTATTGGTATATCTGTAAAACCAGCAAGTAAAAAAGAATACGTTGATCTTGTCGAACCAGATCAGTTTATAAAAAATATTAATTCCAATTTTTGAAATTACGGCATCACAAGAACATTCGGTGTAATGTTAATTTGATTTAAAATTCGACGATTTGCAGTTGTTTCGATAATCACCATATTAATTCTATAAATTAATTTTAAAAACTGTTTTAAAATTAAAGAATAAAAACATCGAATCTAATAAAATAGCAATATTCTCGTCGGATTGTCGTAAGCGCAAAAACGACTTGTAAATAAAGTTGCCATTGTTATTTTTTGCATGTTGAACAATTATATACACAACTGTACAGAAAGATATTTTTAGAATAATAACTGAAATGTATTTTTATTAAATTCAGTAAACTCATAATTTATTTTTCCAGTTTCCTTTTGCCCAATTTGTCCGCATCTAAAATCTTTTGCTTGTCATAAGATTGGCATAAAAACTTGATGATGTGTTCTACATTTTTTTCTATAAATCATAAATTTTATAAAGTTAATTTTTCTTTCATTTTTAAAATTGCAATGAAGCATGATGCTTTGCACATTGTAATGTCCCTCTCTCTCTCTCTCTCTCTCTCTCTCTCTTCATTTGTATGAAATATTTCAAAATCAAAAGAAAATTAATTTTTTAATACGTTGTGCGCAAAACATGGTTTAGAGTTTGGAACGCAAACTATTTAAGATATGAAAATAATGCAAATGGAAGAATTTTTTCGACTTAACCAACTTGAACTAAATATTCGCGGTTGAACGAACAACCATTTAATTGTTTTACCGCATGCATCATAAAATTGGATGTTGAAAGTGTTTGATCAACATATAATTATGTTTATTATTTTTATTCCAATCAGATTGTTTCATTTTCATAATTAAATGAAATTTATTGGAAAATGTCTTCCTTTCAACAAGTGTTGGTTTTTTATTAAACTACACATAGGCCAGACTGAGGTAACTTGAGAGAGCTTCGAGTTTGGCACTTGGATTGAACTGGTTACCGTAGGTCGTAAGCGATAACCACAGTTTGCCGATAAATTAAATTTGGCTATTTTATATGCAGGAGATTGACGACTAGTTACGTCTTTCACTGTATCAAATGTTTATGCGTTGCAAATTTAGGTACATAAAAATGAAAGGAGATGAGAAATTATTCAAGATAAAAAGATTGGATTGGAAATGATTGTTTAAAAACTTACATGAACAGAGCGTAAGGATTGAGGGGTCTTGAGCATGAGATTATTTGCTCGTTTATCTTTTCTACTGAATAGCCCCGACACGGACGAGTTTAAACTCTCGACTCTTTGACAATTTTGTCGTGGGAAGTCAAGTTCTTTGGTGCGCGCATAGAAGGTGGCCGGCAAAGGTCGAGGCGACTCGTCAATGGTCGAAAAGTCATCGCGATAACGAGCATCTTGAAAGCAGTAGCGATCGCTCGCTTTCGTTTTTGGATTACGCTAGAGTCAAAAAATAGCAGAGTTAGGTAGCAGTTGGATCGATCGTAAGAACGTGCGAGCCTCGACCAACTCACTTGTCCCGAGCTGGAAGCGTTGTGACGTTTGCGCAGCAAGTGCCTGCCTACTTGTGTGTAGCGCAGTCCAACGAGTCGAGCATCGTTATTGCTGGACGTCAGAAGTTTCAGCTGATCGCTGCGACGACTGCGATACTGCGGAAAGCCGCTACGGTACGGACGCTGCGGGTAACGATTGCCAAGCATCGACTCGATCGGCCCCGAGGCTGCACTCTGTCGACATTCCTCCGCGTTCGTGCGCATCTGCGACATGGCCGATCGACATGAAAATGTACCGCTGGTGTTTACGAGCATCGAGTAGGCGAACGAGCGTCAATGGTCATGCTTACTCCGACTTGTTGCCATATTTCGTTGGCTGGCCAATGAAACGCCGTCATGGAGCTGCTCGGCCAGCGTTGCTCCCCGGGAACGCTCAAGAGATGAGGCTTTCGCGGCTGCCTCGTTTTCATGTTCGTCATCTCTCTGGATCTTGATGCGTGAGGCATTGAGAAAATTCGAATCAAAAGTACACATCGAAGCCTGCTGGAGTCACCGTAAATACAAATATATCTACCTGACGTCACCGAAGTAAGGATGCTCGAGCATCTTGGCTGACACTGGCCGATCCTCCGGATCGTAAGTGAGCATCAACTGCAGTACTTCGAGGCCGGCAGCGGAGATTCGCGGCAAGGCACAAGCCAAGCCCTGGCCTTGGCCCGACTGCTGCGGAAAGTAGATGTCACCGCTTCGTGCTCTACTGCTTTTTTCAACGTCGAGCGTGAACGGTCGGCTTGAAATATTATCGCGATAATTTACTCTGGACACTTACTTGCGTCGGAACTTGGCGATGACGCGCGAATTCGGCGTCCCGAGAACAGCGTGAATCTTGCCGATCTGGTCGAGTTCATTTTCACCGGGAAAAAGGGGCTCCAGGCTGCACTTGGTAAACTATTTATCATAAGCTTACTCTCGATATGTCGTAATTTTGTTTGTGTCAACGGCACTACGCACGTGAGAAGTTCATAGAATACGCATCCGGCAGCCCAAACGTCCATTTTCGGCCCGTAATAGCCAGAAGTTAAAAGACATTCGGGTGATCGATACCATCTTGTAGATATATACTCGGTGTAAGGCGGTCGGCTGCGCGTCACTCTGATCGAGCCAAGATCTCCGATTTTCAAGCAACTTCCCCGTAATAAAATATTTTCTGGTTTCACGTCGCGATGAAAAATTCCGTAACTGTGCAGATGAACCAACCCTTCGAGAAGTTGACAAACGTAACATTTTACCCTTGTCTCAAGTATAGCTCGTCTATATGACCATGAAAATCCGAAATTAGTGTTACATTCAATTTGAGTAATGGAAAAATGCACTCCCATACCCCTTTCGGCCACGCATAAAATCGTACAGGCTCATGTCCATTAATTCGAAAATCAATGTGATTCTTCCAGGCAATGAATCGCTAGATAAAATATTACCTCGAGCTACGGCAGATCGTCAAGAATGAACTGATACATTATTCAGTAAATGGTACTCACGAGAAGGATTCTATAAGATGTAGAACGTTTGGATGACGAGGAATTTTTCGTGTTGCTATGAGTTCGGTATTTTCCAGTACTTCGTTCATGCTTCAACAAAATACAGCCATTTTAAAAAGTTCAATCCTATCAGTTAGATAGCACATTACAATTTTTACTTTTGATACGTTTTTTTCAAACGTTTGGCCGCATAAAGGGTCCCGTTTAGCCGATTTTGACATTTCAGTACTTCAGAAAATGAACCTTCACCAATTTTCTCGATTACTTTGTACTCTATTTTTATAAAATATTGACCAACGTAAGACGTTTTTCAACAACGCTAATCTATAAAATTTGATTAAATACTAACTGGTTTGAAATGAAGTTGTAGTAGCCCTAGCAGTACACATCTTCCTTTTCTTTCATTTGATGTCTTTAATTAAAAGCCAAACTCACCTTTCTGGTTCGGCGCACTCTGATTTGACTTTGAACTCTTTCATCCGTGTAGTTCATAGTTTTGTTTCTAAGAATAACATAAAACATTTGTTGAAGGTACAATTTTTTTAATATTATAAATATTTTAACACTTTCGGTAACTTTTTTGGTTACTTAAATGTTTCTTAACCTAGTAATCAACTGTATAAAATAAGAATTGTTTTTGTTTGCTTCGAATGTATAGATATTTGTGTCGTTAAAAATGATCAAAATGATCACTCTTGAACAACTTAAATAGTGTTGCATCATACATTTTTATTATGTTTTTTTAAATAATAAATAAAATATTATGTCTAAAATATTTTCGGGTTAATAAAATGAGACTCGCGTATTTTAAAAAATGTGAACATTTTTTTACTTCGATTCAATCCACATTCTATTATTCCAATTTATTTTACTCAATATGTTATAGAATGTATGAGCTAACTCTTTTTTTTATATCGACAAGAAACCACTCTATATGGATCGAATTATTTGAAAGAAGTATTTGAAAGAAGTTATTTAGCCTTATGATAATCTTTAAGAACCCAAAGGACAAACTGACACGAAGTCTCTTTCATATACACTTCGCAACAAAATTATCGCAACAAAAATTTTTCCAGGCAATTGATTTGTTGATTTTCAAACTAGTAGCATCTTCTGGCCGATTGAGGTATTTGACGTACCAAATGAAAGAATTTGAGCTCTATTTCAAAAAACTAAGTTGCAAAATTTCTTTGGGTGATAGATAAATAAAAATTATCATTATATTAACTGTTTAATTTTATATACTACCTAAAAAGATCGACAAATGTAGAAGTTATTGAAAATTAGTCGGGATAGAGTTGCAAGTCTCCGCAAGGACCCAACGTGCAACGCTGGCTAAGAACGAGATTTAGACGAGAACATTCATCAGGAAGAGCTCCATGCTGCACTCGAAAGTGCATTAAGTAAATTTCTCGTTAGTAATATTAAACTCCGGTCATTTAGTCCCGTTTATAATAGCTCCAAAAGGGTTGCTGTAAAAGCTGCACACGGATGCAAAAGCTTGCTGGAGTCGGGCTGCGCCCGAGTCGGTCGGGTTGTCAGGAACATTGACTACAAAAGCGATCAAGAGCTGATTTACGCAGCGAAATGTAAAAGCCCGTTCACATGCTAAAATTTGATCCGCTCGGACAGGCAAACGTGAGCATCCGTAGACTTGATGAATTATAGATATCTACTAGGAAAAGAATTATAATACATTTCAGTTGATTTTATGTATATTTTTGACGAACTATCGTGTTTTTAACTACAATTTTTTACATGAATCATAACAGTTCTCATTTATTCAGATTTCTTGATAATCGCCAAACAATAATAAAGATCATTTTCATCCCTTTAAGATGATAATTTTTGTTTAAAGTCACTTTCTTTCAAAATAAGAGGTGCATTACTGATGTAAAACACTAATTAAAATAGCTTATAATGATTATTATGAAGACGATACCGTGATATGAAATCATAAAAATTTAAAAAGAAAAAGATTATAGCACGTAGAGATTAAAACTAAACTTAATAAATTGCCACCTGAGATCTAGTACAATGTAACGTTGTCATCAGCATAAGTTTGATAATTTCGAATTTCAACAATACTTAAGAAAAAAAAACGATCGCGAAACTGTACATTTAAAAAAGAAAAAGCAATGTGCGTTTTCAATCTTAAAATCATTATGACAGTAAAATTATTTGTAATCAGAGGAAAATAGTGTACGATTCTCGGGAAAGTCTTAGTAAACTATTGTTTATCATAAAAATCCTTTGACATATCATATTTTGTCGTAAAAAATTTTTTCAACCTCGAATTAATGAAATATAAAGTTAAAATATCGCTGATATGCACAAAATACATACACATAAAAGCTTTCATGTAAGTATGTATAATAGCGCGTTATATATTAATAATTAAATTGAGACAATGCTAGTCTTATCAATAATCATATGTAATATGCTTCTAATCTAAAAATTGTTAAATAATATTTTTTTTAATGATTTTTTCATTCGCCATCAATTTCTTCCTAAGGAAGAAATTTTATGTCTTGAAAATACGTTTGTCTTGATTTTTCGGTTTACATTAATAAATGTTTTCAGCTTTTATTAATGTAATTATCTTAATTTACATACTGTTTCATCAATCTGGTTTTTCAATCACTGCTTCAAAAAATGAGCACTCGATTGCTTACATAGTTATATATTCGTTTTTCCGAAGCTACTATGAACCACTTTTATTGACAAAATGATTACTTACATTAAGGCTCGACATAGTTGCATTCGGAAGAATAATTGTGTATGCTGGAAGATTTATTGCACTTTCAGTAACTGAACGTATAAATATATATTGAATACACTACATCTAAGTTATTTCGTTGGTCGATCAATGTGATCTCGCAATAGAAGCTGACTTCAAGTAATTATAATTAATTAAACAAAAGACACTTTTTGTTCATTCAAAAATGTTTGTAAAGTTTCATGACACAAATACCAAGAGAAACTTCAAAGTAAAAAAATCTCTTGAGAATCATTCTCACAAGCATATTTCAGTATCACTATTATCAACTTTCGCTCTGACAGTCGTTACTTATGAAAAAATTATAGAAAATGATCAAATAACTTGGCCAACAATTTTTGATTTGAGACAATTATTTTTAATCAAGTCAAAATACCAATGTCATCACGTTGAATCACTCAGACATTACAAGACCGTAAAATAATCAAAATGCCGCTTACAAATTTTTTTCAATAATAAAAATCTTCATGACTTAGAAGCATTTCCACTTAAAATAGCATTAAGAACGTTTTCATGAACGTTAAATGTTTACAAAAATAGCAAAAGATTTCGCTTGTGCTATCAAAATTTTATACTTAATTCGATTCTTTAAAACTAATAGTAGACGTAATAGCATCCACTATCAGCAATAAAAATTCAAATAATAAAAATCATCGAAATAATACACAACCTTGAACTCCTGTCATATTTTCTTCGTATTCAAGAGCGTTTTCTATCCTAATACAATTATATATATGCATATTTCACCTTAAAACGCAAAAGGTTCGCAAAAGCATATAAATATAAGTATACGTAAAAAACAACCTATACATATATGATAAACGGCAATATTGTGCGTTATGACGTAACAGCATGAAGAACGAAATAGAACATATAAAACAGTAGGGAACAATATCTTCGTATAATTCAATAATATATGCGCGATGATAAATTTATTTATGTTCTATATTATCGTTAATCATGGTGTTGTTTCTCAATTATTTTTTCGTAGTATGTGGAGAATTGAGTATGCTGGCTGGTATATATTCAATTCACAAGCGCGCACTAATCCGTAACAAAAGTCACGACAATGTCCACGCGACCAGCAATACATTTTGTTTGACCAGTCGGTAAGCGGCTTTTGAAAAATACCATACGTCAATTGGGCTGCCAAACAAATCTTATAGATCGTCAAAGCTGCGTCAGTATACTTCAGACTGTTGTCAATTCCTTTTATACACTGATAAAGAGTTAGAATTGGGGTCTGCAAAATAATAGTGGTTAATGCAGTTTGCGGCAAAGTCATATTTTTCTCAAAAATAAATCACTTACCTAGGAGTGATAAGGCGTCACATAGGTAGAAGGAAAGAGACCGCGTCGATTACCAATTTCACCATGCCACCAATGTTGATCCGTACGGTCTGTCACGGTAATTACATCGCCTCTTCTGAATTCGAGCTCCCCTGGTTCTTGAGGTGTGAAATCGTACAAGGCTTGCACGAGGCACTATAAAAATAAATAAGTTTTCTTAAAAACATAATTTTCAAACGTAAATAATTTCGCGATCTCATTAGATTCCAAACGATATCTAAAATGAATTAAGGAAAAACAAAAGAAAGAAACACCAATCAATACGTCAAGTGATGATTACTTGATTAAAGTAATAAGCATAGTAAATAAAGCATCTGGATATTTTTTTTCGCGACAAAAATAAAATTTAGCAGTGTTTTTATGGACAAAATAGACAGAAATTTTTCAAGATACATACTTCTTCAGGTACCATATCGCGTAATTTGACGTCTTGTGAGCGAGATACCGACGCAGTGCGATGATATTCAACGAGCTCATTGAGGCTGCTGAATTTCACAACCCAAAGGAAAAACTTTCCTTGAGCGTCTCTCAGAACTTTGAAATGCTGCACACCGTCCGAGCACCTGCGATAAGGTAAATGAAAACAACCATTTTAGTTTAAATATTTCGTTGTTTTATCGATGCCTACACGTAAGTGGATAATAATAACGATTTTTGCAAGCAAGTGGTCGTGTCATGCAACTCGAAAGGCATATTCCACGATAATTAAGTACAAAGCAAGCTTATGCTCTTGTTAATCAATCATACGATTTTAACGTAGAGATAATCACAAGTGTGAATCGATAAACGTAACATGAAGGGTTGTTTTGTTCAATCAGCCTGAAAAACTTTTTTTAACGCTCCGTGCGTAAAATATGGCTTTTCTAACCTTTCAGTGACACAAAAAATATGGTATGCAACTAGTGCGTGAAGAGGAAGACTCGCCCAGGAGTCTTTTCACCCTCGCTGCGCTCGAGCGTAAACAACACCTGGATGAGTCATCTTCTTCACGCACTTGTTACATAATATACTAGCTTTCTTCAAGTAGATACAAAAGTCATACTAAAATTATCCTTATTATCGATATTTTAAGATTTTTACTGAATGTCTCCTTAATACTATTATAAAAATGTTTATGCATTGAGAAAATAGAGTTTAATAATAAAAAAATTCGTCACAACAAGAAATAGTAGTTTGGTACCCATTTCAACAACATAATTTTACTGCTAATAATTTCATGTCCATATTCAATAGGCACAAGAGGCTCTATCCGAGTTGTTTTAACATACAACTAAATGCACTAGTTTGCGAAGATGCAAGGTACAAATTTTGTTTTATTTTATACCGAAGTTGGCTTGCTGTATTATTGTAACAATAATGCTATATTGCTTGCCTAATAGACACTTGAATGTGGACACGAAATTTGCCATATTATAAAAAAGCTCATATGTATTTAGATATGATTATGATTAGAGTACAGGTACTGTTTCTGGTATTGGAGCAGCACATCCTTACTCGTGAACATATTTTTGCCAATAAGAATACATCGATATACTGATTATGAAAAATGAACTGTCAACCAATTTCGTTCATTTTTCTTGAGCAATGCTGCTTTCTTGAAAAATAGTCCATGAGGTTCAAAACATAAAACATAACAATATTAACTTGAATTTATACAATTAATTTCACTCATACGCTTGAAATAGTACCTTTTAAACACTTTTAAGGTTCGATCGAAAAAAATTTAATAATGAAAGAAAAATCTGAAAATTGCATAAATTTTACTCCTGAGATGAATGGTTTAAATATTTAGAACTTATTACATTGAAACATTTAACCTCATGGATAATTTTTGGGAAAGAATGTTCATTCTTATCATTCGATCAATCGATTTTCAGACTGACAGATGATCAATACTTACTTGACAGAGAGTGAAAAATCACCGGGCGAACTCTCACTTATTCGAATGAGAAAAGCTCCTTCGTGCTTGTTCATAAGCAGTCTTTCAGCATCGGCTCGTGTTATTCTGCCGTAGTACCAACTAAAAAAAAAAGAATTGAAAACGCATGTTTACTCGGCTTACAATGTCGAATGATTACACTTACTCGTGATTTTTCATTTCGATATAGTTGCTGGGTATTAGGCCTTCTCGTGAGTCTAATTCAGCTCTAAACCAGTTCATATCATCTTCCATATTCAGAATCTGAAAAGTGAATAGAAATAATAGAATATAAAGTTATAATTATTAACATATAAAATACATATTTTTCATACGCGAATAATGTGATATCAAATGTTGATAAATTTTCATTTTTCAAAAGATACTTGATTTGTTTATCGAAAAAAGTTCTTATGTATGCAATTGGCCGATTTAGTAAAACTGTACAGAAATCCTTAAAGCTCCCGCTTTTTCGCCATTATGTGGTGTAATGATTGAAGAAAGGGCAAAATAATTGACTAATTGGGAAGGTGTTCTTATTTCGTTTATAGTGCTGGACTCGAAGTAAGTAACAATAGTAGAGCCACATTGAACGCAGCGAGAATCAGTAGTCGATGAAAAAATCTATTAATAGCATCACGAGGAAAGCGCAACGCTCGTTATCATCAAGGCAGTGCGCGTGCAATGTTTGGAAGTCTCATGAGCTTGAAAATAGAACGGGGCATTGAAATTAGCTGTCGCTCAAGCATCAATTAGATTAACGCGCCGATTGAGCGTTGATTTTGCCTCGTCGAACTTTTTATCGATGGTAGCTACCCATAAGCTGAGGGCCGCGAGTCTCGACAAAGTTGAATGTCGAAACCTGGGTCCGTTGAAAAGACAAAATAAACGTTTGCGCAAAAAAACAAAATATAATTGAACAAATGGCGCGGAAGAACGCGTAGACTGCTGCATGAGTAGGAACGAATGCAAGTATATCATGAAGTATATAACACATAAAGTCAAGTGCTTAGGATAAGCAGCTCTTAGACATTATGCAATCACAATACATCCAATTCACGTAGTAGCAACATACATCTTGAGAATTTTTAGCGTATATAATACTCTGACTCATAGTCTCACTTCAATCGAAGTTCCAAGCAAGCTCCGAGGGCAATCGCGAGTCTGAACTCCCTCGTTGACTTGCTTGCGTCTGAGAGAAGTCGCGCAAAGGTTTAGTTACCGAGGCACATTCATTTTTCAACAATTATAACTAGGCTGAACTATATATAATTGTTGGATCTTATATAAATACCCGTGAGCGAGAAAGAACGAGAGTCCGGACAATGTTGGAAAATAGAGGTAGACGGATGATTTTCGGTTGCGGCTCAACGAACGCACGACGTTCATAGCAGAGAGAGAGAGAGAGAGAGAGAGAGAGAGAGAGCGAGGAGAGTAAGAGAAACGAGAGAAAGAGACCAATGTAAATTAGGTTGGGCCACTGGCAGAGCACGATCAAGAATATCCTCGACTCAAATACACGTACATTATTTTCTTCTTGTTTTCTGAAATCAGCCCGCTCTGGTTATGGATAAATAATTCTGGGCCAAGTTTTATCTTGAGAATAAAATTGAAAATATTTTTCGCAGAAATAAAAAATGGTTCTATCGATGAATATGTGCAAGGCACACAGAACGCGATACCAGCAGCATAGAAATGACAGAATGTAGCCGAGGCAATCATTGGTAACGCGTATAGAGATGAGATCCGCGGTATCCTTTGGCTGGTGCATCGTTAAAAGTCATAGATAATGGCACGTGCGAGTGATTACTTGTTTTGTACGCCGTGTACTCGCACATATATATTGTATAAAATCTTTTAATCTCTATTCAACTTTGAACATGAAATTAATCCAATACAAGCTGAAACTTGACATTAAAAACTGCGTAGTAGCGAGTGTTTTACGAATTAATCATTGCTAGAGCTTTCAATTATCCCTCTGTTTTTTACATTTCTTTCAAGATGATTATGTTGATTTGGATAATCGTTGCGAAATGCAATGCAAAGAGTAAGCACGAGCGACGATAAATCATCGCAATAGCAGTAGAAACTGATCGATCGATAAACATACATAGGAAGCCAAACATTTGAGTCATTTATAATGAGGGGAGGCAGCAGCAGCGTCGATTGACAAAACGACGTGTTCCATATTATTAATTTTTTTTGTTTCACAAGAAACAAAAAAATCTTACAGGCCGATTGTTATTTCAAGATTTGGGACTCGACGCCTACGCACGTGTTGTACGAAATCCATAGACAAGACAACTATACAATCGGTTGATTTAAATCTGTCGATCGAATGAAAAAAAATGTAAAGAGAAAAGAACACATCACGGCTATTTGTGTACATGTATCAATGTTCGATCATCAAATGTGTTCTCGTGTATGCTTGCAGAGGGACGCAAAGAGAGTGGGAGGGGCTGGTCTGTTGCTGCTGCTCACGAGTTTCATTTCATACGACGACGAGGAATATCGCACTCACTCGGCACAGGCTCTCGTCTTCGTTGGCATTAAAGCTGAACTCGACGCTCACACGTATACATCAATACGGAGTCAGGCAGGGCAGGCAAGCAGGCACGCATGTTTTGCGTTTTATAATACGGGTGGGGGCGACGAACTCAGCCGAAACAGAGAAAAGATTGCTGTACATTGCACTGCGAGTGTGTGCATTCTCATGTGTATGTGCGTATGTAGGTACTGCCTAAGTCCATACACACGCATCGTACACGCTCGGACACGCTGATTCAAGTATTGGCTGTAAAGTAGAAAAGTGCACGAAAGAAGAGAAAAGGTGAATTAAAATCATCAATTTGTTTCACCAGTTATCGCAATAGCATAAATGAGGAACAGTCGAGAAAATGAAACAGATGTTTTCAAAGAGTAACACAGAGAGGCGTTTCAGAGGAGGCCTTTTAAAAAACTTGTATCTCTCTCTTTATCTGTCTGTCTCGCGTCCACGACTCGGTGCGTCGCGCGCGAGTAGCCTGCATATCGAGGTGTATATGTATTCATTATGTTAAAAGCTGCGAGAGGCGATCCTCGAATTTACGTTCCACGCATGATACAGGAATGTAACTGGCTAAAATACCATAGTCGCTGGCAAAATACGTATAAGTTTAGAGCCATACCTTGAGTACTTGGCTTCGACGAAAACTCAGCTCGTCTTCGGCCGTAGCAGTGAAATCGTGTTTCGCGATCGCTTCCATATTCTAACCTCCTTTTTTTTCCTCGACTCGAGTTTTTCAGTGAGTCTGTGATTGTGCGAACACACAGGCGTTATTTCGTATATATATTTATATGCGTATAATATATATACATCGGTATACTATGGAGTATGCAGCATCAGTAGTAGCAGCAGCAGCAGCGGCAATCGACGACGGACGACGGGCTTTCGATATACAACGTCCACGACTTGGGCAGGCTGTCCCTCGCTGTATTAGTGTATAAGGCGCAATGTTTACTCTGGTTCTTGAACACACATTCGTGACTCTATCTCTCTCGACGGCTGAAACACGGCCGAGCCGAGAGAAAGATCGTACCTTTACACACGTACACAATGACGCAGGTAGTATATAATACGCGAGATCCGTGTGACTGAGTCACAAACACGCACGCACGCACTCACGAACGTATGTATAGCACATTCACAAAGATACACGCGAACACAGAGACAGCTTCACTATCGAGAGTCTCGGGAGCGAGTCGAGACAGCGACAGCAGCAGCACCGATCACGGGCGCTCAGCAAAAAACGCGTAGAAGACGTGCTCGAATCTTCCCAATTGTTGTTGTTGCAACGATCTTTGGCCGTGTGTCGATGCCTCGTGTAAGCGACTGCAGGCAGCGCTCAACGGTGCGGTCCTCGGACTCCTCACTCCTCGCACTGCGACGCGATTCCGTGTGCGTGTATGTGTGTGTGTGTGTGTGCGTGCTGCGCCGCTGTTGTAAGTGCTCTCGCCTATGCTCGCGCTACGCTACTGCCTCTCCGCGGCTGCACAACTATTGTTGCTGAACGCTGATGCAGTTTACAACGACACACGGGCTCGAGGCGTGCACTGCACGTATACACGCACGCACACAGTCTATATCGTGTAGGTATACTGCCGACTCTCTATAGATATAATAATGCGTAGTCGAGAGCGAGAGAGAGAGAGAGAGAGAGAGAGAGAGAGAGAGAGCTGCTGCTTACACCGCCACCACCACTGTAACTGCGCGCGATCTGTATACGGCTCTCGCGTTTACTCTCGGCCTCTCGCTCTTTGCGGAGTCTGGATGTATGCTTACTGCAGGCACTTGTCAAACAATTTTTCAGCCCAAGTCCGCCAGCAGCCGCAAGTATTTACTCGAGAACGTATCGAAGGCCGCTGCTCGTTAGTCGTTGTACGCGCCTCCATTAAAGAGAGTAGCTCGCCGTCTTATGTATCGGGGCAAAATATCCTCCCAAGCCCGAAGCAGCTCCCAAAAGAAGCATCGATGTGACACATCGCTCCTACACACCTACACAGCAGACGCACGCACACTCTTTATACGGTATACGCGGCTCGCAGACAAGTGGCTCCGAGGATTTTCTTTCGCAGTGTACGATAGAACGCGATCCGACAGTTCACCCGGCCCGCGACTTCTGACAGTCCTCTCGCTGCACCGCGCCAATCAGTATAGGTATACCGAATAGCGCGCCCGAATAGTTGCTCATCTTCTTTCGAGTCTTCTGGGTCTCTCCCTCGGCAAACTCTATACACCTTGCTATTCCGTATATTGCCTAGGCTACCGCATTCTACCGGCTCTACGGCTATGCGGCCGAGCTCGTGCAAAATTCATAAGGGATGCGAGTGTAAAAACTAACGCCGTCGCTGCTTGCTCAAACAAACCGAAAGACTCTCGCTACTTTTCATCCCCACATATGTATTATATATTGAAGAAAACTCATCGGTGGTTAGTTATTTTGTAGCTTTTTCGCTGATCTATTATACGGCGTGAAATAAGCGATTGAACGACATGCTTTCGAACGAGTTAATTTGCCGCGAGCTCTGCGTAAATCACTGCGTACCTTCAACTATCGTCACAAACTTTACTGTTTTAATATTGTATTAAAACGTACATCACAGGAGAAAAGTGTCTATTATCCTCCCGCTGCGTAAAATGACAAATATAATTTTCGGGGTATAAATCCCACGTGATAAAAATGCGGCAATAGTATGGGAAAAAAAGTATAACAACATTTTTGCTTATGAGCCTGAGCGAGGTTTTTTTTTTTTTAAATTATCTTAAAACCTTAAATGACCTCAAAAAGTCCCCTAAGTTTTTGACATAGTGCACATTCTATTACACTCGAATGAAAAAAACATACAGGTATAAAAAGAATCCCCAAACTTTTCGTTTTTCCCCGCGGCCTAGGACAGTAGTACATAATTTCCATATGCAAATCCACACTTGCATTTTTCCACCTGACTTGAACGTATGCATGTACCTTTACACCACCTCCAATTGTACGCCCCCGTGGCAAAAGTTCTTTATAACTCACTGAGATTTTGTTTACCTCATATTTTGGGTATTATACATGGTATGAATCATATTTTGAATCAGAAGTCACACAGCCAAGTAAATATCGGAAGAAACTCTTTTGCTTTCACATACATGTACAACGATGCCAGCTCTTATCTTCCAAGTGACAGCTGAGCTTCTGTAAATCGATACGATGCGACCAAAAATGTCTTTTTATACATTATTCGAACAATCAGCTGTATTTTTATGAATGAACAAAAAGCCATTCATTTTTTTAGATCTACTCTAAATCTACTTATAGAGTATTACGAAAAATCGTTATTAAATGATGTGTGCAACTGTATGAGTCTCTACAATCGTAAAAATAATAAATTCGAGATTTACGTTGGAAATAAAAACTAATTGTGCTCCGAGACATACACGCTTATGTGTACAATTTTATAAGCAGTACATACACATCAACATTAGCGGAATATCCCGATCATGACGTCATAGCACAGCAGTGCTGACGCAGAGCTTACAACGTATATAAAAATCGTCTCTTGCTCACACGTAGAAACTCAGTCGGCGCTCTGCTGATGAAATTTTAAAAAATCATCAATTTTCATTCGACAACAATAAAAATGTTCATCGATGCATTGAAATGTCTTCAGATTTCTTATATTTCATGTACTTCCTTTCAATAACGTCTTGATTACGTTTGAAATATTTTGAATATTACAGGAATCTTATAATAATTGGACAGTCAATAAATAATTACCCAAAGAAGCTCTTGTAATTTCAAACATCTAATAGTTTGATTTCAAAGAGCTTGCGATAATCTCAATTTGATTGTTCGATTTAAAAATTTCATTAAAGATCACGATTTTATCGATTGTTACATTCATAGAAATCTCCCATGACAAACACTAGATAATGAATCGATTGATAAGGGGCACAATGTACTATGGCAAAAGCATACATTGATCTTTATCATAAAAAGCGTATATATGTAACAATCGTTCGGTCGTAAAGTGCTGCCATCTGCTATGCAGATGTGATACACGTAAACTTTCGGTAGATTTCTGTAATGAAGCTTCGCCACAAATACAGTAGATGTCACGTGAGAAACGATTCATTTGATTACAAAAAAAGATTTTCAAAATTAGGCAGTTTTGTATTCATCCTGAAGCCAATAAAAAATTTAAAAAAAAAAGAAGAAAAGATTTTCAAAAATTGAGAACAGTAATGAGTAAAGTATAGAACTATGTTTTTTGATGAAGCATTGAAAAGATATGAAAGTTTTTAAACTATAAGGTCGCATTTATGAGGATGTACAAAAATTAAATGTTGATTTTAACTAAAAATATTTGTAGAAAACAATATGTTTATTTTTAGAATATTTAAAAATTGCAATAAAAAAACACTGTGTTACAACTTGAATATACATTGAAAATTACGAAATAGGTCTCGATTCCAAAAATAGATTGATCAATTTTCAAATTTGTTAAATGAAGGGATCCTCGGATGTTTTTGAAATTTTGATACGGCAAACAAGGTCGAAAGCCACGGGCACAGATTTGTACTCTTAGAATCCATGTTGGTGTTCGATTTTTATCAGTATCTAATACTGCTTCAAAAAGTCTGAAAAATACATGCAGGTTCATTTCGACAACTTGAGCGACTTTTTAGATTTTAAGAATATTACAGCCTTACCAATATTCATTAAAATTGTAAATTTTAATGAATCTTTTTTTCTCCGGTGAAATGGTTTGAAATACCATACTGAACCATGTGATTTTGACGATGAAGCGGTTTGCTCGAAAAAAATATTTGAAATTTCCATAATTTCAAAATCTGAAAAAATTCAAGATTGTTCACATTGTTGAAATATAGCTCCATGAATTTTTTGCAGATTTTTTGAGTAAATATTACGTTCAGAATTGATACCGATAGAAAATTGTACATTCTTTGAATAAAGTCACAATGATGTATTGAAAAATCGAAATGCAATTTTAAAGCCGAGTAATTTCAATAACAAGCAAGGCCAGTTTTCTATAAGGTCCTCACACTTTTTTCACTTTGATAAAGTATTTTGGACTGCAGGACGGTTGATACGATACAGTCCATATACATACTCAAGCCCATCGTCTGTCGCCGTGTTCTGTAACAGGTGTTTATAAGTATCCTCGCAATCGAGCGGTACATGCAGTACACACACCGGCAGACAAAATACAACGTTGTGAGAGTACTGAAGGAGACGAATAAATACTCTCACACTCAGGCGCGCCCGTGTATGTGTGTGCCGTCTGTAGAGCATGTGTACGCACCCACGCGAGTGAATGAAAAGCGCTAAAGGAGAAAAATAAGGTACTTTTATTTTATTCGCACGTGTAAATACGTACGCATAGGCGGGCTGGATGCAGTTCGTTTCGACGCTTCAAATTCGTTTGCCACCGTTGAAATTGCACACGTGTGCGTCGATTGATTTGCTGTGTACCCTACGCTTCACTGTTTTTTCCCGGTTTTATTTGCCATTCCATTTTATTTCCTGTGCGCTTTTGCTCCCTTTTTTCCTTTCCTATCTCTCTCTCTCTCTCTCTCTCTCTTTCTCTCTCTTTGCTTCACGAAGGGCTCTGGCTTGACTTTGACCCGCTTTTCGAATAGGTTGAGTGATCGAATAAGTGCGGCGCTTTAACAGCGGCATCACTTTGTTTGGTTCGTTGAACTCACGCTTCGCTCGCTAGATATTTTTCTCACTTTCGATAGAATAAAATAAAATCCTATTAATTATCAAGTCTTTGGACGTTGGTTTCAATTTAAAAGTACTGTCTTAATGATACAAGAGCACAGACCAGTCTCTATCTACACAATTCTGTATTCAAATGCATTATTTGAGTTCATTACTTTGAAATTGAATTGATTTTAACTTGAGACTGTGGGGCTTTTTATTTGAACGACGAATAAGCTTGAGTATTCAAAGGAGATCACTAGAAAGGTTCTCCATTGCCTAATCAGACCTGTGTGTGTACGTGTGTGTATACACAAGAAGAGCAACAGGTAGCCGATAGTTGTGGCGAACGCAACACTCGCATATTCACTTACACACGCAGTGTGCGCGAGCTTAATCGATGGCGAGAAAATGACTCTTCGACTCGTTTGGTGGAAGTCAAGGTGCATCGGCGGTATCTTCGACGAAATCGCTTGTAGTTGAAACGACTACGTGGTGCAGTTAGAGTCGAGACCATTTTGTCAACCGTTTGGATGTTATTGTGAATATTGTGGCAATGTTAAAAAAAAAAATTAAAATCTGACGAAAAATTAATTAATCGGAAACATGTGCATTTGGGTGATTTAACATAAAAGTTTTTCGCCCAAGGTGCTCTTACAAAATCAAAAGCAATATATAGTTTATATATGTCATTACAAAAAAGTAATTAATGACATATCGTATAGATTCTCAACATCTCGTTGATCATTATGCTATCTTATAGGTTAAAATTAAACGACATAATCGTGCGGCAATAGTGTTTTTACTCATACGCTATGATTTATTAAAAGTCGAATCGCAATTATCTTTATACACATTCTTTTGTAGCTTCTATAAGGAAAAGGAATTTCAGCTTCGATTTTGGCATCGTTGGCTCCGCCTC